CTCCTGACACCTGAGCAGATTCCCGGACGTCCTGGCCCAGAGAAGGACCAGGTGGACCTGAGCGCGCCCCAGGGAGTGCACACGAACCACCAGTGGGGGCGGGCGCAGGCCTAGTCCTCCCGCTCCTCGCAGCCTTCCACCCCCTCAGAGCCCTACAACGGGGACGCTCCCACCCACGGCAGAGGTGCCCTCACCTGTGGGGTGCCCGGCTGGAGTCCGGCACAGAGCGGGTCCTTGGGCCTCTACCAGGGCTCTTGAGCACAGTAACTGGAGCACCCCCAGCCCCCCCAGTTAACTGCAAGGTTCCTGCTGGCTCCCCAGTATCTCTCACCTTGGTGACCAGGGGCTCCCCTCACCCCAGGACTTCCTGCAGCTCCGGGACAACCGGGCAGGAGGACAGCTTTGTTGATTTCCAGTTCCCTGGGTTCTGCGGGGAGACCCTGGGGCTGAGTGAGCCCAGGTGGGCTGTCTCTCCTAGACGCCCCTGTAGTTCTTTCTCCATCTCCCTGCTTCCTGTGCTGGAAGGTTTGGCACTATTTGCATTCTATTTGCATATATTTACATGCAGCGCTCAGATTACAAACTCCCACCTGGTCCCACCCTGGATAGAGGAACATCCGGGAGGAAATGGGAGGGCTCGGAGGAGAGGGGAGAGAGACTGCACACCCCTAGCTGGGCAGCCGGGATGGTCCTGGCTCCGCAGGCAGGCGAGATCCCGAGATAGGAGGAGCGATGGGGGCATGAGGCCCAGAGAAGGCCACACTGCTGGGGCCACCAGAGGGAGGGGGCCGGCACCAAAAGACCGACCTGGCGCAAGCCTTCCTCTCATTCCTCCGGAGATGCCTGGCCACGGCTGGAGCCGGCAGGGGATGGGGGAGTTCCCTCCTCGACCCCAGGGGGAATGGGCTGCTCCCTGCCCTCTCTGTCCAACCTGGAGGGAGTCTGATTTCTGATGGCGGCTCCCAGGGCTCCTCATTCACAGGGATTTGTTCACCTTCAAGCCTTTTTCCTCTTGTGCCTTCCATGGGGAATGTCCTCCTCTTCCTCTCCACCTGTGAGCTCCACCTGTCTGTGAAGGCGCAGCCTGAAGGCCACCTCCACCAAGGACCCTTCCGTGATCCACACTGTTAACCATGACCGCTGCGGCCACTCACTGGGCACCTGCTGCTCTCAGATGTCAGATGGAGTGTGGTTTGGACATCACCGCCCAGCCTCACAGTCTGGCTCGTGTCCTCCATGTCGACCTTGGCCGACGGGCCTGCTACAAAGCAGGTGCTGGGGTACAGCAGTCCAGTGAGTGAACAACTAAGGAGAAGTGGAGGCCCAGGGGTGGGACACGCCTTCTGCTCTCTGGCACTCGCGTGCTCAGAGCTACAGAGCTTCTACCCCAGCCCTGCGTCCCCACGCCGGGGAGAAGCATCCTTAGGAGAGTGATGTTGTGCCCCGCCCTGGGGCATAGGAAACCATCGCTGCTCTGGGCCATTCGAGTGGGCGGCCTGTGCAGGGGACGCCTGGAGGCCTGGAGGCGGGTGAGGAGGTAGCAGATGCGAGGATGAAGCTGGAGCGCAACCTCGGATGCTGGGGGAGAAGAGCAAAGCCTTCTGGGAGCCCGCCCCTGGCGGGCCCGATGCTTCCGGGCTGGCGCCCTGAGGTGCACAGAGGCATCCGGGCATCAGTGGCTGCATCCCTGAGAGGGGCCGCCCGAGACTCAGATTCCAGTCACAGGCACGGACGTCCCCACACCTGCCGCCAGGGTGCCAAGGCCCGTGCACAGCCTGCCCACTGTGGCTGCTGCTGAGTCAGCGGGGAAGTGACCCGACCAGCCAGTGGCATGAGCCGGGCACCTAGGTGCTGCCCCTCTGAAATGCCACAGGCGAACGTGTCCATGAGAACAGGACGGATGGCATGAGCCCACTCTGTGTTTTTATTTTTTTTATTTTTTATTTATTTATTTATTTTTTTGACAGGCAGAGTGGACAGTGAGAGAGAGAGAGACAGAGAGAAAGGTCTTCCTTTTGCCGTTGGTTCACCCTCCAATGGCTGCCGCGGCCGGCGCGCTGCGGCCGGTGCACCGTGCTGATCCGATGGCAGGAGCCAGGTGCTTCTCCTGGTCTCCCATGGGGTGCAGGGCCCAAGCACTTGGGCCATCCTCCACTGCACTCCCTGGCCACAGCAGAGAGCTGGCCTGGAAGAGGGGCAACTGGGACAGAATCCGGCGCCCTGACCGGGACTAGAACCCTGGGTGCCGGCGCCGCAAGGTGGAGGATTAGCCTAGTGAGCCGCGGCGCCGGCCCCATTCTGTATTTTTAAAACGCTAGATTGCGCAGGTGCTGTAGGGTGACAGAAAACAGGACAGCAGGGTTCTCCATGGCTGTTTCTGGGGGGTGGGGCTGAAGGGAGAAGTGACCGTCACTCCTTACCTAAACCATGCTCTAGTCCTTTCCCTCATGGCATTTACTGCTTTGGTTTGTTTTAAAGATTTATTTGAAAAGCATAGCAACGGAGAGAGAGAGAGATCTTCCATCCACTGGTTCAGTCCCCAAATGGCTGCAACGGCCAGAGCTGGGCCAGACTGAAGCCAGGAGCCTGGAACTCCTGCAGGGTCTCCCATGCAAGTGGCAGGGGCCCAAGAACTTGGGCCATCACCGCTGCCTTCCCGGGCCATTAGCAGGGAGCTGGAATGGAAGTGGAGCAGCCGGGACTCAAACTGGCATCGCAGGTGGCGGCTTTACCCACTGTGCCACAACATCTACCCCCATCTACCACTTTTGAAAGAGAAAGAAAACATCCAATAAATGAGGGTAAGGGAAAGAATTGTGCTAGGGGAAGGAGGCAGGGAGGGGGGCCCCGGCAGGAGGAGGCGCCCAGGCAAGGCCTTGAAGAGCAGCTAATGCCAGGCAGGCTGGGGGCAGGGAGCGATCCCAGTAGCTGGAGGGTGCCCGAGGGGCATGGTGTCTGAGGATGGGAGGCTTTGAGTACAGGAGGGCAAGGGCAGGTGGATCGTGGCCGGCACTGGGATTGGCAGGGCAGCGCGTGGCCAGGCGTACTCTCCTAAGGCCAAGGAGTACCAGAACTGCCTGCGGGCCCCAGGCTCCCTCAGAGCCACTCCTGCAGCCAGAGAGACCCCACACACACACCGACCAGGGAGGCCCCAGTTGGTAGGGGGAGAGGAGGTGCAGAAGGCTGAACAGCTGGAAGGGCGGCTGGGCGCCAGGGAACGGAGCCAACAGAGGGCGCACACCCGCTCCAACCCCGGCCTAAGCCCACTCAGGGGGAGGTCATCACTGGCCCCACAGCACAGATGAGAAACTGAGGCCCAGAGCTGAGAAATCACTGGGCTGAGTTCACCCAGAGCTCCAGACACTAAGCTCCCAGCCGCGACTCCCCTCCCCCCAACTCCTCTGCTCATGGTCCGGGTCACCAAGATACAAGTGTGGGACCGACCGGGGCTGGTGTTGTGGTACCAAGGGTTAAGCCGCTGCCCACGACACCAGCATTGCACAACGGAGCACTGGTTCGAGTCCCAGCTGTTGCGCTTCCGATCCAGCTCCCTGCTAATGCACCTGGGAAAGCAGCAGGAAATGGCCCAAGAGCTTGGGCCCCTGCAGCTGTATGGGAGACCCTGATGCAGCTCCTGGCTCTAATCTGGCCCAGCCCTGACCATTGTGGTCATTTGGGGAGTGAACCAGCAATGGAACATCTCTGTCTCTGTCACTCTGCCTCTCAAATGGATAAAATAATTTTTTTAAAAAAAGACAAGCAGGACCCACAGCAACATGCCCGGCTCCCAGCAAGTGCCCACTGAGTGGCGAGGCTTCTGTGCCCAGGGACGGGGCACGGGTGGGGCCCGTCCACCTGTGCCCTGGGGCAGGGCCATGGCTTTAGGGGGCTGCGGGAGCTGGCGATGCCTCTAGAGGGAGGTTCTGCTCATGCTGCAGTCAGAAAAGCCCAGGTTCAAACCCCAGTCTTGCCCCAGCTGCCTGTGTGGCCGAGAGCAAGGAGCGGAGCTGTGCCCCCACCTGCAAAGGGGTAGCAGGAGGGGCTCACACAGGTGCAGCAGGTGTGGCTGTGTAACAGGCCCAGGAGAGGACAGTGATCAAACCCTCGTTCCGTGCAATCCACACACAGCTCAGGACATCGGGCTGGAAACAGCGCCTTTATTTGGGGGCAGTGCCCAGGCCAGGCTGGTGGGAAGAGAAGGGGGCAGAACCCAGGTGCCCAGCAGAGTCGACAGAGGAGACACAAGGCGGTAGAGGGACACTCTCGGCGGCAGGTACCAGGCCCAGGGCAAGAGGGAGTCAGGCACAGCTGCTGGACCCACTTGGTGTCTGCAGGGGCTAGAACTGGGCAGCCAGCGTTCTCTCCACTCTCCAGTGCCCACAGGGAGGCCACAGGGGCGGCCTCTGCATCCTCCTCCCCCTCAGTGGGGAGTGCAGGTCCAAGGGGTCAGAGGCCAGAGAGGCCCCCCAGGGGCGACGCTGCCTCCGTGTGGGGAGGAGAGCTGTGCCCCGGAGAGCGGCAGCAGCTGAGGGGCCAGCCCTCTGATGCGGGCACACACACCACCCCCCACCGCACCCTCGAACACAGCACACGGCTCGCCTTCTCCCTAGAAGACCAGACTGCGCATGGCCCCGGCTCCTGCCCACGGCCACAGACCCGAGCACCCGAGACTCGCCTGGGCCATCGTCTACTGGTTCTCCTCCCTGCTGGCAGCACCAGGGGACAAGGGCACAGGAGGCTCAGCTGGGCTCAGGGACACCAGGCCCAGGACTCACACGGGGGCTTGGGGCAGGACAGGGGCAGGGGCAGGGCCCTGGACTCGCCCTGGCCAGGTACTCACAGCGTCTGGTAAGTGCTGTCCTTGGCCTTGAGGAAGCGCAGCACAAAGAAGGCCACCGCCTGCAGGCTCAGCACCAGCACAACGCCCCCGATGAAGCTGGCCCCATCAAAGCCAGGGCTGTGGGCTTCAGGGCCTGGTGGGCTCCCTGCAGGGGTGGGGCCCCGCGGAGGTCAGAGCAGGCTCCCAGGCCCAGCCCCACACTGAGGGTCTGGAAGACCGGGCTCTCAGCCCGGGGGTAGGAGTTGGTGGGGGCTGGGGGGTGGAGGTGGCGCCTATCCAGTCCTGGTTAAACTCCTGAGTGCCCTGGGCTGCACACACCTCATGTGCCCTCTCAGGCCTCTTGATGAGCAGGTGGGGCCAGAGAGCCACCAAGCTCCCTACCAACGTCCTGGGCCCTCACTAGCCACGCAGCGTGACAGCGGCCCCAGGACTCAGGCAGCCCAAGCCCGCCCAGCCTCGGGCCTCCTGAGCCCAGATGCAGATGATGCATCCCTTTGGTGGCCTCCCAGCCCTGAGCCGCCAAGTGCAGACAGAGGGCCGAACCAGCCTCTGAGGGCCAGACTCAGCCAGAGTGACCCCACAGTCAGGGCAGGTGGACTGCCACACCTCCCCTGCCCCTTAGAGGGCGCAGCCGTGTGGCCACGGTTGCCAGGTGAGGCCTGGGTGGCTCCCAGCTGTGCCACGTTACCCACTGGCTCCCAGCAGGGATTCGATTTCAGGCCCTGGGCCAGGTTGGAGCAGGACAGGCTGGCGGGTGGCAGATCATCCCGGGTCCAGGGACAGCGCGCCAGCCGTGATCGGGGCACGCCACCCAGAGGGTGTGGGTGGTGTAAGGGGGTCTGGCAACGTGAAGGGCAAAGCATGGTCCCCGCCGCAGCTCAGGGAGCCCCCAGAGCAGGCCGTGGTGGGAGGGGAGCACGGGTGGGAAGACAGGAGCCGCCCAGGGCTGAGCCATCAATAATTCAGCCTCGGAGATCAGGTTCCGGCTTTAATTAACCACGAGCCTCTTCAGCTGTGCAGGCCAGGTCTGCTGACCTCCGGGCCCCGAGGGGCAGGGGACCCGAAGGGCGGGGCTCTTGCTTCTGCTCTGCTTTGTGACCATCTGGGCCTGGAGGTCGGAGCAGGTAGTCACCAAGGAGGAGTGACCCGCAAGCGGAGCCACACCCCCTGGGCTCCAAGGCCAGGTCCTAAGGAGTTCCCAGGACAGGGACGGGCAGGACGCGAGCTGGCACTTCTGACCCGCCACAGGGGCACTCAACAGCCTCACGCAGCCCTCACGGCAGCTCTGTGAGGTCGGTGGCGTCCAACCCATTTCATGGATGTGGAAACAGGCGCAGAGGGAGGGCTCAGAGGGCAGAGGGCCTCCGCGCCTGAGCCCAGCTGTCCTTCCTGTTCCTGGCCCGGCCCCCACGTGGCACCTACCTGTTGTCACGGTCTCCGGTTCATAGGTGGGGTGGTGGTGGGCAGCTGGGGAGACAGGAAATCCACAGTGAACAGCCCCCCTCCCAGCAAGACCCCAACCCCAGACCAGAGCTGTACTTCTGAGTCGGGTCAGGCCCCCAGCGCTCCTCCCAGGCCCGGACCCCCAGGACCCTCCACCAGTGCCTTCTTGCCCCTCCAGACCCCAAGGCTCACCTCTGATGACACTTCCTCTGGGAAGCCCCCCATCTCCACTCCCTTCAGAACTTCCAAAAGCCCTCCCCACACCTTAAATGAAAAGAAGGAGCCCCACTGCTCCCTCCCAGCCCCCTCCGCGCACCTGGGCCCATCTACAGACAGGGCACATGAAGGGATCTCTCAGCAGTGTTGAAACGGGGCCCAGGCACACGTGGGCATGGTCCCCCCACCCCGAGAAAACCTGGCTCCTCCTGGGGAGAGCCTAGCCCCCTCCCTCCACTCGACCTCAGCTGGGGCAAGCCCTCTTACCGGGACACGACTCTGAGCGGTTGTAGACTGAGCAACCTTCCCGGCCTGACTCAGCTTGGGCCACACAGAGTCCTGGTGGGAAAGGGACCGGGCAGAGATTCCAGGATCGGGAGAGACGCTAAGGCGCTGGGGCTCACACTCAGGGGCACTCAGTGGGGAAGCGGCCCACCTCCGTACCTGGCTCCTCGGGGCCGCACTGCCTCCACACGCAGCCAGAGAGGTTGTGCGCCCCTGCCCCTGCCACACAGCGCTCACAGAACTCTAGCTGCCGGCAGCCCCCTTGGACAGCAGGCCAGACGTTGAGGCGGATCAGGGCTCCCCGCCCAAAGCCAGGAGCGCCTTTACCTGGGAGCGGGGTGGGGGTGGGCAGAGCTGCAGCACCCCCCCCCCCCCCCCTTGTGGTTTTCACCCCCCGCCGGCCCCCGGAGGTTTCCACATCCCAAGACGGGGTGGCCAATTAAAATTCCCCTAGTTTCCCTCCCTTTTTCCCCCATTTGGGGATGACAAAACCCCCCCTTGGGGCCCCTCCCCCCCCCCCGGGACCTTTTTTAAAATTGGGGCCCCCCCCCCAGCCACAAACCCCCCCCCCCCCCCCGGCCTGGAGCCTGCAGCCATGAAAGTCATGGCCCCCGCCCCATTCCAGAGCGTTGCAGGGAAGGCACCTGGGAGAACCGCAGGGACGCGCTCCACCTGCCTGGGCCCGGGCCCCCTCAGCAGACCCCCGCCGCATTACCAGCCACGGAGAGCTGCGCACACAGCAAGAGGCAGCAGCAGCCGCCGCAGAGCGCAGCCCGCAAGGCGCGGGGTCCAGGCTGGGCCATGGGCGCGGGCGCCGGGACTGGGTGGGGGTCCGCGGACCGCTGGGATGACGCGGACCTTTCTCACTTGGCACCTCGGAGCTTGTGGGGAGCCGGACCGGGGCCACCGGGGCGTGGCCAGGTGGAGGCGCGGCCAGGCCAGGGGCGTGGACGGCGAGAAGGGCCAGGTGGGGCTGGGCTCCTTGGTCCGGGGCGGGACTTGGACAAAAGGGGGCGGGGCCGAGGCGAGCCGCGAATGTGGCTACTGGGTGCCCCCAGTACTCCAAGTAGCTTCGCACGTGAGGAAACTGAAGCTCGGAGGAGGCGAGGGAGCCGCTCGAGGTCACAGACTGCGCCGTAAAGTCGGGATCTGGAGTGAGGTCATTTCCTGCCCTCGCCCTCGCATCCTCTGCCTTCAGCCTCCCGCCTGCCACCCCCCTGGCCGAGGCTAGGCCAGGCCTTACCAGATCTCCTGGACCTTTCCACGGGCCGCTGCTCCTGCCCTGACACTGCCCCTTTGGAAGCCGGAACCAGGAGCGGAGCTGACTCACAGCCAGGCAGACTGATACGGGACACGGGCATCCCGAGCAGTGCCAACCAAAAGCCTGCGGTCGCCTCCCGTGTCTCCTCCCTCTGCAGCCGTCTGTCCTTAGGGTCCTTAGGGACACCCTTCATCTCCATCCTCCGCCCCTCCTCTCTCCTTCCCCCATCTGCTTCTCCTCCGAATCCAGGTGACCACTTTGGGTCCTGAACCCTCTTCCATAGTCTGCCAGGTCATCATTTTTGTTAAAGATTTATTTATTTATTTGAAAGTCATAGTTACACAGAGAAGGGGAGAGAGAGAGAGAGAGAGAGAGAGAGAGAGAGAGAGAGAGAGGTCTTCCATCGCTGGTTCACTCTCTAGATGACACCAACGGCCAGGGCTGCACTGATCTGAAGCCAGGAGCTTCCTCCAGGTCTCCCATGTGGGTGCAGGGGCCCAAGGACTTGGGCCATCTTCTACTGCTTTCCCAGGCCATAGCAGAGAGCTGGATCAGAAGAGGAGCAGCTGGGACACAAACTGGTGCCCATGTGGGATGCCGGCACTGCAGGCGGCAGTTTTACCTGCCACAGCGCTGGCCCCAGGTCATCCTTTTTTTTTTTTTTTTTTTAAGATTTATTTATTTACTTGAAAGGCAAAGTTGTGTGTGTGTGAGAGAGAGAGAGAGAGAGCGAGAGCTCTTCCATCTGACAGTTCATTCCTCCAAAAGGCTGCAACAGCCAGGACTGGGCCAAGCTGAGCCAGGAGCCAGGAGCCTCTTCCAGGTCTCCCACGCGGTGCAGGGGCCCAAGCACTTGGGTGGTCTCCTGCTTTCTCAGGCCTTCAGCGGGAGGGCCCGCACCATGGCTGTGACCTGTCTCTTCTGGCTGAGTTTTTCAGCAGCCCTCTCATTCCTGACTCCAGAAGTCTCTGTCTCCTGTCCCGGGCTCCCCCGTCACCCTCCTACCCTCCAAGGAGACAGAACGGCTGCCCTCCTGTTCAGACCCCCTTGCTTATCTGTTCGCATCTCTGGAGGGTCCTCTACCGTGAATCCATCTGCCGGGTAACCAGCCCTTCAAGACACCACTCAAAGGCCACCTCCCTTTTTTTTTTTTTAAAGGATTTATTTATTTTACTTGAAAATCAGAGTTACACAGAGAGGGAGATGCAGGGAGAGAGAGAGAGAGAGAGAGAGAGAGAGAGAGAGAGAGGTCTTCCATCTGTTGGTTCACTCCCCAACTGGCTGCAACGGCCGGAGTTGCGCCAATCTGAAGCCAGGAGCCAGGAGCTTCTTCCGGGTCTCCCACACAGGTGCAGGGGCCCAAGGACTTGAGCCATCATCTACTGCTTTCCCAGGCCACAGCACAGAGCTGGATTGGAAATGGAGCAGCTGGATCTCAAACCGGCACCCATATGGGATGCCAGCACTGCAGGCGGTGGCCCTTCCTGCTACTCCACAGCATCAGCCCCCACAAAGGCCACCTCCTTCAGGAAGCCCTCTGAAACTGTTGCAGAATAAGACTGAGCTGCTGCAGCACCTGTCTCAGCTGGTAGATCCACATCCATGGCCTTCCTGCCCTGGATCCCTCGCCATCCCTCACCAGAACGACTGCAGTGGCCTCCTAGTGGGGGCTCCTGCTCCTACTCCCCCAGCCCGTTCTCCACTCGGCAGTCACAGTGACCCTAGGGAAACCCCAGTCAGACCATATCACTCCCCTGCCCGCCTGTCCTTGCTCAACCCCTCGCGCCTGAGCTCACTGGGCTCTGGACACGCTGGGCTCATCCCTACTCAAATGCGTCCACTCCTTCCCTCCTGGGGGCCTCGCCGAGGCCTCTCCCTGAACCCCTCTCTTCTGTCTTCAGCGCTGACCTCCCTGCCTAGCAGGGGTTTCCTGGCTCACGTCATCCCGATACAGAGATCCGTCATCATCCACTGGCTTCCTGGGCAGCGGATTCCACGAAGGCCAGAACCGCGGTCTCAGCCGCACCCAGCAAGGGCTGAGCGGGTGGCTAAGGAACCACCCTGAACTGTCTGCCCCGCCAGGCTGGGAGACCCTCCAGCCTCCTGACCCGATATCCTGGTAAGTATCCACTTGTGGCTTGTCCGTCTCTCCCCAGGGACAAGGAAGTGGCTAGAAGCAGCTAGGGGGTTTGCTCTGTGCCTGTGCTCTGGCTGCTCAACAAATACTGAGTGAGTGTTGAAAATGCGGGGATGTGGCCAGATTTTCTGTCTCCAGCACCCACGGAAAGCCACGCCCAGGGGACCTTAGTGGATACGGGCTGAATGGCCTGGGCTGAGAGAGCCGGCTCCAATGATGCCAGGCTCCCAGTCAGGGACAGGGGCCTTCGGTGTGGCAGTTACCCGTGTCACCACGCGCCCTCCCTTCCCTTTGCCCATCAGGTGAAAAGGAAGGAAGTCTCACCTGGGAGTGAGCGCTCACGGCCATCTGGTGGCCACCCGGGGAACTGCAGCCATATCAAGCCCTAATCTAACTTCACCCCCAGCCCCTGCTGGCTTACATCCAAGCTGAAACAGAAGGCAGATTGGACCTGGCTTCAGACTCCTGTCTGCCATTTACTGTGTGGTATGGGCGAGTGCCTTGGCTTCTCTCGGCGACACCTATGAAATGGGGGCCATGCCCTCCACCATTGTAGGCTTGTTGTAAACACTGGGCTCTGATACCGCACCTGGTGGGTGGAAAGGATGGAGGGAGGTGTCTGTGGCGCACAGGAAGCCAGGAGCCAGGTGCAGGCGGCCTGCGGAGGACGGGCCAGGAGGGCTGCTTGTCCCTGAAGCTGCAGGTCTCTGAGGTGAGACCCTGCCGGCAGTGATGGCATCAGTTGCCCTGTCGACGTGGACACTTTCGGGACATGAGAGAGGGCGCACCTGCAAAAACCCACGGCCTCGCTTCAGGGTCCTGGCTCTGCGGGGTTTTTCCAGGTCAGACATATCACTGTGCTCTCCCTCCCGGCCACCCGAGCCTCCGCCTGCACTGCAAAAGGACACGGAAACTACCCCGGATGTCCCGCAACATCAGTGCCCGAGAGACAGAACTGGAGGAGAAGGCAGAGCGCCTCAGAGCACATCGGTCCTCCGTGTGTTTGCTTTCAGACCCCATTTTGTGGTGACAACACAACTGGCTTGGGCATGATTTACCATTCTTTGGATTATTGCAAAGAAAAATGAATCCACACACAGAATTACAGGCCATGACTTGCATGAGAACAAAAAGCTCGAGGAACCAGTGGGGGCCGGCATTCGCAACACCAGCATCCCTTATGGGCGTCGGTTCGAGTCCCGGCTGCTCCACTTCTGATCCACCTCCCTGCTAATGTGCCTGGGAAGCTCTTAACACCCATGTGGGAGCCCCGGATGGAGTTCCAGGCTCCTGGCTTCGGCCTGGCCCAGCCCCAGCTGCTGCAGTCATTTGGGGAGCGAACCAGCGGACGGAAGTTCTCTCCTTCCCTCTTCCCCTGTCATTCTGCCTTTCAAATAAATAACTCAATATTTTTAAAAATTTATTTAAAAGCAAACAGCAAAGGAACAGGAGAACAGAATGAAGACAGCCAGGGGGACCCCCCAGGGCGCTGCACACAGGACGGAAGAGAGCAATGGCCAGGGCGCGGACTGATGACTGTGACAGTGGGAGAAGTCTGTCAGGGCCGCTCAGAAGAGCAGACAGCCCATCACCCTGCGCTTGCATACCGACTCCCCGCAGCCCCGTGCCCAGAGCTCTGTGGGGACAGAGCGTTCCAGAGCCCTGGGTGCTGATGTCCTCGTCTCCTCTTTCCTGACACCCCTGGTTTTTTTTGGCACCAGGCATATTATTCTGTTTTCTTTCTCGGGCTGCTCCTATTCGGTTTAATCAACCACCAACAAATACTCACTGAACACCCACTACCTGTCGGGCTGTGTTCTCCAGCAGTCTCCGCCTCACGGAGCTTACATCCCGGGGGCGACAGGTGGGAAACAGACAAACAAGCAGGAATAAACACACCACTTCTGGACGGGGTGTGGGGGGTTCCAGGGAGGAATCCGGGACGGAGGCCAGGAAAGGCTGTGTGGAGGGGAGGGGGTGGGGACAGAGCCCTGGAGAAGAGAAGGGGTTCTGGGCCCGGGAGCAGCAACATTTTCATCCAGCGGCTCCCTCTCCCAAGTGACGTCATCCAGCCCTAGAACCTGTTACCACCTGCACACCTGTGTCTCCCAGGTGGCCTCTGATGGCCAGATAGGCCATCGACTCATAGCCAGATCTGGGGCAGACACTTGGCTCCATAGTTAAGATGCAGCTTGGACACTCGTATCCCCTCTCGAAGTGCCTGAGTTCAAGTCCAACTTCGCTTCTGATTCCGGCTTCCTGTGAATGCACACCCTGGGAGGCAGCAGGTGCTGGTCCAAGTCCTTGGGTTCCTGCCTTCCACATGGGAGACCCAGATGCAGTCTTGGGCTCTTGACTTTGGCCCGACCTGGCACTAGCTGTTGCAGGCATTTAGGGAGGGACCCAGCAAATGGAGGATCTCTGTCTCTCTCTGCCTTTCAGTGCGTAAAAATAAAAAAAGTAAAATTAAAATAACAACAACACATAGCCAGTGCCAGCAGCCCTGTGAGGGGGGAAGTCGTAGCTCCTCCATTTTAGAGTTGAGAAACTGGGCCCACAGAGCCCTCAGAGCTCCTCAGAGCCACACAGCTGGAAAATGGGCGACCTGGGAGCTGAACCCAGTCCACTTTTTTTTTTTTTTAAGATTTATTTATTTGAGAGGCAGAGTTACAGAGAGAGAGAGAGAGAGAGAGAGAGAGAGAGAGAGAGGTCTTCCATCTGCTGGTTCTCTCCCCAAATGGCCACAATGGCCAGAGCTGGGCCAATCAGCAGCCACGAGCCAGGAGCTTCCTCCCAGTCTCCCACATGGGTGCAAGGGCCCAAGCACTTGGGCCATCTTCCACTGCTTTCCCAGGTGCATTAGCAGAGAGCTGGATCGGAAGTGGAGCAGCCGGGACTCAAACCGGCGCCCACATGGGATGCCAGCATCTCCAGGTGTTGACTTAGCCTACTAGGCCATGGCACGGGCCCCTCCAGTCAACTCTTGACCGCCTCCACAGTGCACGCCCTCAGACACAGCACCTCTGACCTCATCTCCCCCAGCCCACCCTCTCTCTTCCCCACCTCCCCTGCCCTGTGCCCAAGCCCAAGCCTGTCCCAGCCCCTCCCGCGGGAGCTGCAGTGGTGCTGTGATGGGGGGAGGGCTCCAGAGGGGCCTGGCCTGCCCCTCTCCCTTGTGCTAAAGGGGGGTGGGGAGCGGCCACCTCGGCCAAGTCTGGAGAAGTCCGCTGAGGTGGGATTCAGGGCAGGCAGGACTGAGGGAGAGCGAGCTCCTTCCCGGAGCCCCCGGCACCAGGAAGCCCAGCGGGGGCTGGGATGGGGCTGGGTGGGGGCTGCCCTGCCAGGTTTTCTGCTTCCAAGTTCTTCCCGGCTCCCTATCTCCTGCTGCTTCGGGGAAGCGCCCCCGCCCCTGGCTTTCCAGATCCTTGAATAAATAATTCAGGTTTTGAAATCTTGCCAGGCCACCTCTCCCGGGCTGGGAGGGCGCTGTTTGGGCTGACAGGAGTGACGTCACCAGCTCTCATCCCAGCCCCAGCATCACGGGACCTGCCCCAGCAGCCCAGACCCTGCACCCTGGAGCCCACTCACAGGTCACTTGGGGTTCCCCTGCCAGCACTCTACATTCTCATCTCTCAACCTCGGTACCTCAGTACCTCGGCACTGCTGACAGGGTCCTGGGGACCTCAAGTCCCACCACCTGGAACCCCATCTTCCCCTGGGGTTCCTGAACCCACTAAGCTGCAGTCACCCTGACATGACTATGGCTGGCCCGGGGCTTCCTCCTCTCGCGTCAGCATCCCACGGCCGCCACCCCCTTCCCCAGGATCCCGTCACCAGGCTCACCGTCACTGCCACCCGCCTCCCTGCTCCCTCGTGCTCCTGTCATCGTCACCTCAAGGCCCCACTACCGGCAACGCCATCATCCTCATCGGGGACGCCCATGCAGCCCATCACCCGGGCTTCGTCACCTGCGTTCCGTCAGCCCTTCTCCGCCACCCGAAAGTCTCATCACCCCTACAGCCTGGCCGGGTCCCCCACCCTATCCTCTGCAGCCTTCCCGAGACTTCTCTCAGGCCGTCCCACCAGCGCCCCCCGAAACCCCCCGGCCCGCAGAGGGCGCAACGTCAAGGACAGCGCGGGACAGCGCGGGAGGGGCGGGGCCGCGGCCACGGCCGCTTTTTATGAATGGGGGAGCGGGCGGCGCGAGGCCTCATTACTATGCCGCGCAACGCGCGCTGCGCCCCAGCGCGCCGCGCCTATTGGCCGACGGGGCCACTGACGTCACCGAACCGGTGGCCGGGGGCGGGGCGGGGCGGGGCGGGGTGACTCACGCCGCCTCTCGCCCGGCCGCGGGGGCTTCTCGGGGTCCGCGCACACCCTGCGCCGCCAGGACCCGAGCGGAGTCTCCCCGCGGCCCGGCCGCACCCGGTCCTGAGCGGTGAGTAGCGGCCCCCGCCGCGGGCACCAGGCGTCCTGGAGAGGGCACGGAGGATGCAGGGGCGATGGGCCGGCCGAAGGCTCCTAGCGGCTCGCCAGGGTCGGAGGTCGAGATGCTGGGATTCCGGGTCAGCACGTTCTGGGTTAAGCAGGCGGGGTCCCACCTCTTCGGGTGCCGGAGCTGTCAGTTGGGTGACCTGGCAAAGGGTGAGCGTGCCTGCAGGCACTCGAGGCCCTGAGAGACAGATGGTCATCTGAGGTCCCTGAGGTTGGGCCAGCAGGAGGCGTCGGGGGCAGCGACCCAGGCGTTTAAGCAGCAGGAGGCGTCTGACCTAGGGATCCAGAAACCCGGGCAGGAGGCGGAGTCAGGCCCAGGATCCAGGTGTCCGGGCACCAGGCTGCGGACTTCCAGCAGGGGGTGCCTTTCCTGGGGCCCCAGGAGTTGAGGCAGAAGGAGGGGTCTGGCTGGGGACGGAAGTCTGGGAGAGGGTGTTGTGGATGGGGGAGGGCCGGCTTTCCCCGGTGCTGTTACCCCAAGAGTGGAGGGTGGGGGCTGACAGGGCGCTCACGCGCACTCCCTGGGGGCGGAGCTTGGAGCTGCCAGTCCTGAGAATCGTGAGGGGTCTGGGAGCCTCTCTGATGGGAGGGAGAAGTGTTTCCTTCCCCCAGCCTGGAGCCTTTGGGGGCGTCCCTTGGATCCTATTGCCCCCATCCATTTATGGTAGCCCTTGGTCTGGTCCTCCTCTGGTTACCCAAGTAGGAAAAGAGGACCGAGAAAGGAGAGTGGGGAGACTCAGAACAGGCACCCCCAGGAGCCACGCAGAGGCCTGGGGGCATCCAGGAGGAGGTGTCTGGGGCAGAGCCTCAGGGTATGAATGGAGCGGGCAAGGCATGGGGGTCCCACCGGGTGTCCCGAGGGGTGCTTTACCCTCCCCCTGCAGAGCCCTCCTCCCAGCTTCTCACAGGGTCTTTCTCCTGCAGGTGCCATGATGTGGGGTGCGGGTAGCCCCCTGGCCTGGCTCTCAGCTGGCCCAGGCAGTGTGAACCTAAGCAGCACCGGCCCAGCCGAGGGGCCCACGGGCCCAGCCACACCTCTGCCCTCGCCCACGGCCTGGGACGTGGTACTGTGCATCTCAGGCACCCTGGTGTCCTGCGAGAACGCGCTGGTGGTGGCCATCATCGTGGGCACGCCCGCCTTCCGCGCCCCCATGTTCCTGCTGGTGGGCAGCCTGGCCGTGGCAGACCTGCTGGCAGGCCTGGGCCTGGTCCTGCACTTTGCTGCTGTCTTCTGCATCGGCTCGGTGGAGATGAAGCTGGTCCTGGTTGGTGTGCTGGCCACGGCCTTCACTGCCAGCATCGGCAGCCTGCTGGCCATCACGGTCGACCGCTACCTTTCTCTATACAATGCCCTCACCTACTACTCGGAGACAACAGTGACGCGGACCTACGTGATGCTGGCCCTGGTATGGAGCAGTGCCCTGGGCCTGGGGCTGCTGCCTGTGCTGGCCTGGAACTGCTTGGATGGCCTGACCACATGCGGCGTGGTGCACCCGCTCTCCAAGAACCATCTGGTGGTCCTGGCTATTGCCTTCTTCATGGTGTTTGGCATCATGCTGCAGCTCTATGCCCAGATCTGCCGCATCGTCTGCCGCCATGCCCAGCAAATTGCCCTCCAGCGGCACCTGCTGCCCGCCTCCCACTACGTGGCCACCCGCAAGGGCATCGCCACGCTGGCTGTGGTGCTGGGCGCCTTTGCCGCCTGCTGGTTACCCTTCACCGTCTACTGCCTGCTGGGTGATGCCCATTCCCCACCCCTCTACACCTACCTCACCCTGCTCCCCGCCACCTACAACTCCATGATCAACCCCATCATCTACGCCTTCCGCAACCAGGACGTGCAGAAGGTGCTGTGGGCTGTGTGCTGCTGCTGCTCCTCTTCCAAGATCCCCTTCCGTTCCCGCTCCCCCAGCGACGTCTAGTCGCGTCCTGCTGGCCCTCCAGCCCTGACGCTACACAAGTCCAGAATGTTAGCTTCTCCAGGGCTTTGTTCCAACCCCCGGCTCCACACCCCTGGGGACCCAGCTGGTTCTGGAGTTCTAGGACATTGGGTGTTTCAGGATTCTGCTCGAGCTCCCGACAGGGCCCCTGTGGGCTCGTGGCTCCAGAATGTTCAGGTGGTCTGGGTTCTACTCAGAAATGGCCCAGAGACCAGCTGGCTTGCACTTCCAGATTGCTGGGGCTTTGACAGTGCCATTCCAAGTCCTCGCTGTCCCTCCCCCTAGACTTGACCTTGACCATGTCACTTTATGTTTGAGCTAGAGTCAGAGAGGTTAGTCAGCTGCCTAGACAGAAGAGAGATTTATCTATCTATCTATATATATATATGTGCACATACAAAGAGAGTATCTATTTATGGTTTATTTATTTATGAAGCTTTTGATGGGTGGGAAGGGGGCAAGGAGACCCACACCTCGAAACCCAGGCTGTACCAGGGCACCCCAAGTCCCCACACCGACATTGCTGACCTCAGTTCCTGGAGGGGAAAAGGGAGAAAGAGAAACCACGTATTTTGTTATTATTATTTTTGCTTATTTTTTATCGAAGAGATCATAGGAACCAGAGCCTCCCCCCGGGCCCGCCCCCTCGGGGACGGAGGGGAACACACCAGCCTCTGGTTTTTTATTTTTTTAAGGAGCCATCACCTGAACAACCAAGAATTCCTCTGCGCTGGGGGCCGACTGCCCTCTGGTGGCTGTTTGGGGGAAGCTGCAGCCTGGCCGAGCAGCTGGGACCAGAAGCAAGCCCCCAACTCCACTCCAGCCTGGCGCCCAGCGCCACAGCCATGGCCTGGGGGACCAGGCCTCACCCTGCGGTGCCCTAGAGGAGGCGGGGCACGAGCCAACTCCCCACCCCTCTGCCAACCGGGGTACGGCCCCCAGTGCGTTCCCTGTTCCTGTACCCAACCCAAGTCAAATAAAAAGTGATTTTGTGATAAGTTTTGGTGTGTACGTGTGTGTGTGTGTGTGTGTGTGTGTGTGCGCTCATGATGGGGGATAATTTGGGATAAGAGGGCCAGGCCAGGCCAGCAGGGCCTTTGGGGGATCTGGGGAACTGGAGACCCTGCGTGGGGTGTGGCTGGCAGGTGACAGCAGCCCCCCTCCCCATGCCAGTTCCCCTCTACTCAGACCTGGGCGCCAGCGGGCCAGGAGCTCGCTTCCCCCTGGGGACAGGAACCAGGATGCGGGCCCTTCTTGGGCTGAGGACGCCCACATCCTGCCCACATCAGGCCGTCTGAGGCCCCGCGTGAACCATGCGCTCACAGCCTGTCGGTTTCCTCCTCAGGAACGGCCCCTTTGCAGTGGGGGGTGGGGGGTTCAGAGTGGGCAGCGCGACAGCCGGCATGGGCCACACATGAGGAAACTGAGGCAGGGAGAGGCTTGGTGACTGGCCCAAGGTTGTGCAGCCGGGAAACAGAGCCAGGCTCCCAGCCGGGAACATCTGTTTCCCGAACCTGGGCTCTGCCTACTGGGCGATGGCCTCCCACTTCCTCCCTCGCCCAGCCTGAGGCTTGGGACCTCTGCACCCTGGGTTCTGGTGGCTCGGTTCTCAGCGCCAGCGGCCCACCCTGGGCAGGCAGGCAGAGACAGAAGAGCTGGAAGAGCGAGTGACCATGAACGTGTGCGTCTGGGACTTCCGTGTGCGCTGCCCAGACTCGCGTGTGTGAAAGGAAACTCTGACCCGCCCGGCCTCACAGCCTCTCTGGCCTGACCGCTGGACAGGCCTAGAGGTGGGGCCCCATTACGCAGACGGAAACACCGAGGCCCACAGAGGTGCGCCCATCTGCTTAGTCTCCCACGGCTGTGCCAGGCCAGGACTAGGGCTCTCTCCGCATCCCCCCGCCACAGCTCTTCTGCCTGCTGTTCCAGACCCCTCCCCAGCATCAGCTGTAGGAATCCAAGGGGGTGGCCTTGGCACGTCCCGGATGCAGGGCAAAAGGCCCCTTGCTCAGGCTGAGCCTTGTCCTGTCTCCCTCCCTTCCCAGGAGGTCCCTGGGGAAAGACCCCCACTCAGCCAGCCATTCCCATGCCGAGCTTTGAGCCAAACACAGCCAAAGACATCGCATGGCTTCTTCGGGTGGGTACTGCGCCCATGTTACAGATGAGGACACTGAGGGCCTTCACCCACCCTCTGCTGTCTTGGTGGACAGCTTGATACCCCGTGATGTCCGGGGTAAGTTCCCGGGGCAAGCAGGAAGGACATGGAGGGTGCCAGCGAGCTGGAAGTGAGAGGCCCGGACAGGCCTCCTGGAAAGGCGGCCTTTGATTTGCCCCAAGTGGAGTCGGAGGCGAGCTGGGGATTGAACCCAGGTCCCTGGACTCCGAATCTGTGTCTTTCCTGGTTGACGGAGTGGGTTTTGGAAACAGCAGGAAGGCCTGTCCCCTGGCTAGGGACAAGCTGGGGGTTCCCACGCTCCTCAGGAGCACCACCAAGGTCAGAAGGGGGCCCGGGCGGGGCTTGCTCCTTTGTGTCTGCCCCCCCCTCCCCCCCAGTGCCCGGGCCTGAGCAGGCCTGGCCTCCGGCCATCCTCCTGTCGGGAGGGCCTCCCTGCCCGGGGGCCGTTGTGTGTGCAGGGGGCAGCCGGAGGCATTTCCGGAAGCCCCCATCTGGGTCTCGGCCTCTGGAGCTGGGTGCTCCCTGAGGGGTGTCTGGGGCTGAGTGTTTACCTCGTGGCACCCTGCAAACCAGGCCCAGGCTCCCCCTGAACCCCCACCCCGTGCCGCCTCCAGGAAGCCTCCCTGGCTGAGCCCTGTGGCTGTGAAGATGACTGACACACGGCAGGCACCTACCACACCTGCCTAGAGGGAGAGGTTTCCGGAAGCTTCTTGCTTTTCTCCTCAGCCTGGGGGGAGCCCTGGGAGGAGGGACAGGTGGGTCTCCTCCGACTGAGGGCTCCTGGAGACAGAGCTAGGGGCTTCTGAGTACAAGCTCACGTCTCCCCCCTCAGACAGGAACTCCTGAGGGCTGGTCTCCTCCCTCAGACTGTGGACCCCCGAGGGCAAGGACCATGCCTTCTCCTTGAGACTGTCTCCTCCTGTGTCTCCTCTGGTGCTCAGCACAGGCTGCTCCACACGCATGTGTGCGCATGCACGTGCCCATGTGTGCGCGTGCATGCCCGTGTTTGGGGAGGGGGTGGCCCAGCCTCAGTCTCTGCCTGTCAGCTGCCCATCCCCCATGCCTGATCCCAGGCAGCTACAGGGTCCCAGGAGGCCGAGCTGGTGATGGTGGGGGGTCGTTGAGATGTACAGGGCAGGGTGCCCTTGCAGGTGGAGTAGGCCCTGGGATGGGTGGAGCCCACCACAGCTTCCCCGCAGCCCCTGGTCCTGTGTGGATGAGGGGGCAGCCCCTCCAGGGCCGCGACTGCCTCCCCCCCGCAGTAAGTGAGGAGACAGCAGCTATTAATATAAGATGAGTTCACGGGCTCACAGCTTCCGCAGGCTGAGAGCAGGCTCCCAGGGCCGGGGGCTGCGGCGAGGCTCGTCTGTCAGGTTCCCCCCTGGAGCCAGGGGCTGCCAGCCCTGCATCCCCCAGCTCCCTCTGCCCTGAGGCCTGTGCACACGCGGGCACTCACCCATGGGCACACACAGGCACGCAGGCAGGGCCCTGGTCCCTGGCTGTCCACAGAACACACCTCCAGGCACACACGTCCCAACATGTGTGCACACCCAGGCGTACCTGCACATAGGCACAGCACGCACCCGTCTGCGTGCCGGAGCACACACCTGAATGTATATGCATGCCCTTGCACACACGTGTCTGTGCAGACTTAGCTTTGCATGCCCACATGCTTGCGTATCCAGACCCCTCGGTACACCATTGCACACGCAGCCACACACACGCACAAAGCTGTACTGTGGATACAGGTGGGATCCAGACGGGTGCACACAGGCTCGCATTCAAGGACGAGGCCGCTTGTGCACGCCCTTGCACACACAAAGGACACACTCACACATGCTCCCTGCTGCTCAGCAGCTCAGCGCTCTGGCATCCGCCTGCCCACCTTGGCTTCTAGCTCCATGGTGGGGGGGAGGGTAGAGGCACTCCCCTCCCCCAGTCTCATGACAGGCACCTCCTGCTCACCCTGGTGCCTGCCTTCAGCTTCCCAAGCCCCAGGGGTCCCCAGATCCCTGATTAACCCCCTCGCTAATTGGCCTCCAGCCCCTTGACTTTGCTGCAGGCCTGCTCTGGAGCTGGGAGCAAGAGGCTGCAAATTGGCCAAGCAGGGTGGGTCTGGGGAATAGTGTGCGTGTGGGGGGCGAGCTCAGTGATGCCTGGAGCTGGGTGGGGCAGCCCCTATCCCAAGGCCAGGGAACAGTGACGTCCTGCACTCTTGGGAGGGCTCCTCTATGACGCCTATGTGTATAGTCTCAGGAAGCCATCCCTGCACACACACACCCACCGGCACTGCGTGTACACGTGTTCCACACCACCGGGACACCAATGGGGGTGAATATTTGCACCTGCAAAGTACACTCAGAACAGAGCGAGTGTGCGTGTGAGCACAACCCACTTGACAGGCAGACGCCGTGTGCATACACCCAGGAGCACACACCCCCAGCAGCCACACTAGTGCCGTCACGGGCATGCATACCAGTCCATGTCACAAAAATGCCTGTGAGGGCTCCCCTGTTCATGCTGGTAGGCATGCACACACCTGCATACAGTGGCGTCAGTGCCATGCACACACCACTCCTATGCGTGTACATGCACACCGAGTGGCCACAGGCTAGGGAAGACCTCCTTCCGCCTTTCCCCAGCCCCCGCGCCGCACACCTAAGCCTGGGATCTCCTCTGGGACCCCCTGCGAGCCTTCCGGCAGCTATAGGGACCTTGTCAGGGCTCCCAGACAGAAGGGCAGAGCCTCTGGCTTGAGCCACTGCACTTCCAGCCCCAGAGGCTCTGGGCCCAGGCCCTTGGGGTGCTCCACTCTCTTTGGGGCAGCCTGAAGCACTGGAAGAATAGGGGTTTCTATTTTCACGTTTGCTGTCAGCTTACTGTGTGACTTAGGCAAATTACTGCACCTCTCTGTGTATTTCCTCACTGTAAAATGGAAATAAAAGGTACTGAGTCGGTAATCCCTCCAAGGCGGCCCCGAGGAGCCAATGGGGTTGTGTTGAACAGATCTGCCTCACTCAGGCACGCGTACCTGGGAGGGGCCCCAGTTCCCAAGATGGCAGACGCCGTCACCATGGTCAGCTCCTTGTTGGAGTGGCCTGAGGAAGCTGAGGCCCAGAGAGGCATCAGTGACGCGGGAGCTGAAGACTTGCCCTGACTTCTCAGCCGGAAGTCTGCTCTGAGTCTACCACGTGTGCCTGTGGAGTGGGCATGCGCGGGCGCAGGCGCGAGCTGGCTGCTGGCTGCAGTGGGAGGGGTCCGGGAAGGACCCCCGTCCCCACTACTAGTGGCCCTGCTGTCATCAGGGACTGACGATCCTACCATGACCAGCTCCTTTGGCTGTCACAGGCTTATTTTTGTCCTCAAGCTTCAAGAACACCCTCTAGACACCCACATCCCTGGTTGCTGAGGGCTGTCCAGGGGGAGCACCTGAACCTGTTGCTCCCCTCCCGATCTAGGAGGGAGCTAGGGGACAACACCCCAGAGCAGAACTTCCAGAAAAGGCTACCAGGTTGCCCTGGCCACCAGACGGCCAGGAGGGGGCAGTGAGGAACAGGCAGAGGCAGCGAGCAGGGAGGGTGGCTCTGAGGATTGCGTGTGTTCCTTTGACTGCAGGCTGCCTTCGGTCCCGATCCGCACAGGGGCAGGGGCCATGCACCACGTGTGCTTGTGTCCCTCGGCCTGGGTGCTCTGTGCTCCCACTGATAGGTGCGTCTTCTCCGCAGACACGCGTGTGGGGTGCACCGAGGCCCAGCCCGTGCCTAGGGGACCCATTTTGCTCTCAGGTAGCTGAGGGTGCAGGGTGCTTGCCGCCCTGAAGTCTAGGCTGCTCTCCGTGGAGCTCGCTGATTTCAAAGTGAACGGAAAGAAGCGTCACCTGTTACTGCACCTGCAGAGCCGGGCACCCGTGGTGGGGGTCACGAGAACTGAAACCTTTCACACGCCCCCTCCAACACAGAAGGGCACGATTCTGGAGGCAGATCCACCGAGCTGTTAAACCCGCCCAGGGGGACAGCGCGCAAGCCCCGGCTGGAGACCCGGGTCCGACCCACGGCTCCGCGCCGGCCAGCTGCACGCTCTCGGGCACCGGGCACCTCACCTCCCCTGTGCGAGCCTGCTTTCCTCAGGCCTAAGACGGGGAACCCTTGCCTCTCAGGACGGAAGTAAGGCACGTGCGGTCTTCAGCGGGCGCTCACTAAGTGCTCATCTCCTCAGGATCAGCCCAAAGAGGTGAAGGGCCCTGCACAGGGCCACAGCTCCCGGATGGCGGAGCCAGAACTCAAGCTCAGGCCTCTCTGGCTTCCCAGAACCACATTCCTTCCCTCCGACTCCCCAGCAAGGGCGGCTCCCGACACCACCATTTTGTCTTCTGCCAGGGCGGGCGTCTGGCTGCTTGTCAGTCACCGGCCTCGGGCAGCCAAGTGCTGACTAAACACAGGCCCGAGCAGGAGGGTGGAGCGGAGGGGCTGCAGGGCGAGCGGCTCGCGCCCCCCTCCCCGGCACCCCCGGCTCCCGCGATGAGCTCAGAGCGGCTGGCGCAGCACTTGCTGACAATTCAGAACTTCGGCCCCCTCTCCTGGGACGCCAGTGGGTGACTCTCTCTCAACAGCAGGCGTGACCCGCGGAGTCACCAACCCTGCTCCCGCCCCTCCCGGGGGCCACCCCACTGCCTCTGCGGGGCCCGGAACTGGGTGTCTGCTCATAAATTACCCCCAGGGACAGTTACCCGCAGCAGCTGTGCTGGGAACAACCGTTGCTTCCTGGGTAGGTCATTTTTTTGGGTCAGAATCTAAACCCAGCCCCCTCGCCTTCCTCAGGCAGGAGAGGGGCGTGCAGCAGCCTAAACCTTTTATCGGATTCCATTGTAAATCGCTCTATTTAAGGTAAGTTGCCTGGGTCTGAGAGGCAGACAAGATGCCGGCCAGATGTTGGGAGGCAGCATCAGCATTCAGCCAGCGCTCCTTTCACGGCGCAGGAGTTGCCAGCGGCCTGCCTCCCCAGCCCTGCAACCCCTCTTCCTCGGGTGGGGGGCCTGGGCTGACAGGTTCCCCAGCCTTGGTCTCCTCCCAGACCAAAATGGTTTCCAGCCCGCTCCGCCTCCAGTGCGGGGTCTTCATCCTGGCCTCCTACCTCTTGTGCCCACCCACCCAGGAAGCCCTCTTGACACAGCCCCCTCCCACCACCCCCCTTCCAGTTGCTCCTCCTAATCTCTTAGCCCATGAAAACAACTCACACACACCAGGGGTGACTGAGTGGCTACAAAGACTTTATCAGATGATTTTAAACATTGGCATTTCAGGACTCATGTGTATACATAAAATGGTTACACGGAACCTGCAGGTCACCAGGGCACAAATGTGGTACACACGTGAGCCTGGCAGGAAGCGAATGAGACCAAAAAACTGGCCGTCCTTCTAAGGGTCTACAAACCAGGCAGAAGAGGCAAGGGTTGCGTCAGGGTCTAGCTTTGCCCTACTACGCAGATCACTCCTGTCTGTGCTCAGGAGGAGGGGCCTGCTGGCAAACTGTATCCCACTCCATACTCACTCACTCCCTAAAATCTCACCGTGGCAAACACACCCAGGAACCCACTGGAATATGTCCTTATAAATATATTTATATCAGAGAAAACAAGGCACTTTGGGAGCATTACGGCTTACTCTCCTACATGTACATCATTCTAGACAGAAAGTAAAAATTGGTTAGTTTCTCAAGTGAATTAGCTGAATAACGTTAATACAATAACAAAATTGTTCCCTAGCCCTCACCGAGGCACTGTTAAAGTGAACGTGGCAGCAGGCACAGAGTGAGGCACATTTCTGTGCGACACCTGGTCCCAGGTCAGCTGGACCCCAGCCAGGTTCAAAGCCTGACCTCCCAGGAAGCCCAGTGTTTCTCAGGAGCAAAAGGCACCCCCTCCCCCACCCCCTGCAGCCTTGGAACCCCGCCCCCGCCTGGGACCTCAGGTTGGTGGGGGCTGCAGTGGGAGGCGGTGCTACAGCAGAGCCCGACACGGTGGGAATGCTCAAGCAGGGTCACCAAAGCCACAGAGACCTCAATCTGTCCAAGCTGGCGCTGCAGTCAGAGGATCGGCGCCACGGGAAGAGATTTCACATTAGCCCTGACAACACCGCCTCGGCTCTGCGGTGACATTGGCCAGGGTCGTTTCTGAGGGCACTCGAGCTTCCATTGGAGGCAAGCTGGAGCTTGGGCCAGCTGCTCTGAGCCTCCCAGGGACACACACACCACACACACACACACACACACACCACCCCCCCCACCCCCGCTTCCCCGGGCTGCTCCTTTGGAATGAAATCATCTCAGGACCAAGGCAAAGCCACAAGTCACTTCTGACACTGCCGATGGGAAGCTGGGCCCTTGGGCCACAGGAATGGGGGCAGCTCCCCTGGGCCGGGCAGACCAAGGAAGGAGGTGGCTCTTCGGCTTCAGCGCTTTAAGAGTCCTTACGGGCCATTGTTTCATACTGTTACCAGCCTCGGCCCAGTTTAAATAATCACTAAACTTTGCATTCTACAATTACTCGATTCCAAAACACGATTACCTGCATTGGGTCCTTTATCATCTTAAAGGGCTCTAGGTTTAAAGAAGTTTTTTTTTTTTTTTTTTGGTGCACATATGCATAAGTAGAGCCCAGAGGGCCTCTCGGCTGACTGGGTCCCCAGCCCCCCGAGCTGAGGAGGCTTCGCAAGGCCGGCTGCTACAAAGCGCCGAGCTTGGCTGCATAGATTTTAATGAGAGCGCCAGGCAGAGCTGTGCTGTTGCTCTCCGGGACTTGCAGATCATTACCAAACCAGCTGTAGGATGAGAACACAGCACATCGAAACCCTAGGAGGTCACTGAGCTAATGATCTAATCCTACCTTCCGCAGGCAGGGCCCTCCCCACCTCCTCCTGCCCCCGGCCCTCTCCGCCGTGGACTCTGTCCATTCCAGAAGCCAGGCCAACACCGCCCCCTTCAAGGTCAGAGCAGAATGACAGAGAGTGGCTCTGGCTCCCCCTTTTCCGGAAAGGAGGAGGATGGGGGTAATTTAGTCAAAGCCATTAGGCCCAAACCCTGGCCTGGCCAGGCCCCAGGACTCCTATTTGGGAGAACCGCTGCCCTCTGCCTGCCTCCCCAGCCGCTGCTGGCTGCAGCCGAGGCCCCTCCATCGGCCATGTTAGGGTCCTGATGAAAGCAGGATGGGAGACGGGCGGAGTAGGCACCGTGTGCTGAGTGGAGCGGGGCGCCTGCCCGGTCTCAGACACACCTGATCTGGGGAGTGGCTGTGGCAGGGGTCCTGCTGGCACCCACAGGCTCAGTCCCACGCCCCAAGTTCAAGGCGGGCGGGCAGGCGGGCAGGCAGAGGGGAGGTGCTCGGCAAGGGCTCGCGACAGAACCCTGATTATACATACCCTCCTCGAGCCGGAGGGGTTTACGAGGGCTTTGGCAATTACTACAACCATTTGTGTGCTGGGTAGAGACAGATCCTGTTTCTCTTTGTTTCAGGGCTCTGAAAGGCCAAGAAGCCAGGAGAAGCCGATTTCAGCGTAAGAGGCTACACAATCGTCAGGGCAGAAGAGAAGAAACCTTGCTGTTGGCCAGAGCTGCCAGTTTTTTTTTCCCCTGAATGGTAGCACCTGTGTATGAGCTCCGGGAAGGCAGGGAGCAGAGGAGGGAACCTTGCCACACACAGTGAGGGTGCTGGAAAGAGGACCTCAAGTCCCTGTGCCTCACAGCCCTTTTCACAGCTGCCAGAACCCCCTCACCCCGCCCCCACCCCGCCCACCCCGCAGGGACCTGCCAGCCGGAGGGACCCAAGTTTCTACAGTTGGCAGAGCCTAGGCTTAACCGGCGGAAGTAAAAGGGGGCGGAGTCGCGGAGGAATTGAAAACAGCACCTGTCAGAGCTGCAGCCCCTCCCCTCTCCCACTGCTTTCGGGCCCTGCAAGAGCAGGTCTCGGGCCCTGTGGTGAGGAGGTGACAGAAAAGCAGCAACAAAGAACTACAAGCCAGGCTACAAGCATCCGAGCACCCCCTCCCAGCGTGAGGGCCGGAGGAGCACCGAGCCACCCGGCTCTGCTCCGACTCCAGCTGCTGCCCATTTTTTGGTCCCAGAAAGCACAGGTGACTTGAAATCAGGCACTCAGGCTCTTGCTCTGTCACCATTCAACCGTGTGACCTTGACCAAGTCACTTCCTTCTAGGCCCCAGCATCCTGAAGAGGGCAGGTGCAAAGGTCCCGCTCTCAGCTCCGCCCCCGGCAGATGGCACAGGCCCAGCTTCCTGAGTGTCAGGGCCAGTTAGGTCAAAACTGAGCTGTGCTGCCTTAAGACACCCGGGGTGGGGGAGGGCACTGAAGCGGAACCTGAACACCTCGCTCACGGGGAGAGCCTGGAAGGGAGGCAGCATTCTGGGGCGAGGGGGTGAGACACTAAGAGGTCTGCTGCCTGTGGACCAGGGGCAATGCCAGCACAGAGAGGCCTTCGCCAAAGGCAGCCCCGCCCTGCCAGCTGGGGCAGAGGGTGCGGCAGAAAGGCATGGCAGGCTGGCTGCTGGGACATTCGGCCTGCACCGAGTTCTCAGGGTGCGGGCGAGGGGCTGGCCGTGTCCACACAGGCTGCTTTCACTGATTTAGGACTGAAGAGGGCTCGCATTATTTGAAGTGGCTGAGGGCAAAGATTGGAGAGACCATGATTGAAAAGGGCTTCTAGTGGAAGACACCGCATCCACTGAAACCCAAGCAAAGGGGCCCACTTTGGGCTTCCTTCCAATATGCAGCGGTCAGCTGCAGGGACAAGGGGGCATCTCAGCGCTGGAGCTCAGGAGCCCCCAGGGGCCTGACAGCTGGGACAGGAAATCCATGTCCACCTGGAGGAAGCACTTGGATACATCTTTGGTTGCTTCAGAGAAGACTTTGGCCCCTTGGAATCCCCACCCCCCCACCCCGCCCCACGGGCTGTGACTGCTGCGGGTCGGCACCAGAGGCGGCAGGGAGGAAGGAAAGACAGAGGAGGCACGCAGCAGCGGGGCGTTAATCGGACCAGTCGTCCTCATCGAACTCAGAGGAGTCGTCTTCCGAGTCGCTGTACTCCACAGCAATGCGCCGTGACAAGATGGTGGCCACGTCATTGCCCACGACGTCCCGCTTCTCTTGCTCCTGCTGCTCCTCAACCCTGCGCAGCTGGAAGCCTGGCGGCAGAGAGAGAGGAGTGAAGGAGGCGTGTCCTGCCCGGTTCTGTCCAGGCTGGGGCTGGGGCTGGGGGGTACGGAAAAGGACAGAGGAAATGGAGTCTCTGGAAAGCAGAAAGGGCAAGGGGTTTGCAGGAGAGAAGTAGACGGCGTCTCACGAAACTGGCGGCCCTGAACTCCAGGAATGTCTGGAAGGAAGCCGTTCTTCCCGGACGCACACAGCAGCGGCACTGAGTAGGAGCAGCCGCCACACCCGCCTGGCCAGCAGGTATTCAGTCCACCCTCACGCACCCATTGTAATGAGGAGGGAGGGGAGACAAGCAGGGAAGGGGACAAGAGGACAAGCGGAGGGGCTAGCATTGTGGCGCTGCCCCATATGAGGGCAGGCTGGAGTCCTGGCTGCTCCTCTTCTGACCCAGCTCCCTGCTAATGCACCTAGCAAAGCAGCGGAGGACGGCCCACCCATGTGGGAGACCCAGATGGAGTTCCTGGCTCCTGGCTTTGGTCTGGCCCAGCCCTGTCCATTGCAGCCATTTGGGGAAAGAACCAGTGGATGGAAGACTTCTCAATCTCTCTCAGTCCCTGTAACTCTGCTTTCCAAGTAAATAATTTTTTTAAAAGGATTTATTTATTTATTTATTTATTTGAAAGTCAGAGTTACAGAAAGGCAGATGCAGAAGCAGAGGCAGAGAGGGAGAGAGAGGTCTTCCATCTGCTGGTTCACTCCCCAGATGGTCACAACAGCTGGAGCTAGACCGATCTGAAGCCAGGAGCCTCTTCCAAGTCTCCCACACTGGTGCAGGGGCCCAAGCACTTGGACCATCTTCTACTGCTTTCTCAGACCATAGCAGAGAGTGGATTGGAAGAGGAGCAGTCAGGACTCGAACCGGTGCCCATATAGGATGCCGGCACTGCAGGCCGAGGCTTTATCAGCTGTGCCACAGTGCCGGCCCCCAAATAAATAAATCTTAAGGAAAAAAAAGTTAGGAAAAGGGAGGAAAAAAAGAGATGAGAAAAAGTGGACAGAGGGACAGAGGATAAGAAGGCAGGACAGTGAAAGAGGACAGGCAGTGGCTAGCTCCCACTAGGACAGTGATTCTTATTTTCTGGGGCACAGAACTTTTTTGAGAACCTGATGAAAAGTAGGTGTCTTTCCTCAAGAAAAGAATATGCATGCAAACAAATATAAAGCTTAACATTTTTAGGGAGTTAAAAAAAATATCTCAGGTTAAGAATTCTCTACTGGGGCTGGCGTTGTGGTGTAATGGGTTAAGCTACTGCCTGCAACGCTGACATCAAATATGGATTCTGGTTCGAGTTCCAGCTGCTCCACTTCCAATTGGTTCCCTTGCTAATGTGCCTGGGAAAGCAGTGGAAAATGGCCCAAGTTCCTGGACCCCTGCCACCCACATGGAAGACCCGGAAGTAGCTCCTGGCTCCTGGCTTCAGTCTGGCCCAGTCCTGGACGTTGTAGCATGTGGGGAATGAACCAGCAGATGGAAGATCTCTCTCTCTCTCCCTCTCCCTCTTTCTATATAACTCTGCCTTTCAAATAAATAAATCTTTAATAAAAAAAAAAAGAATTCTTTACTTTAGGGGGTGGGCATTTGGCACAGCAGTTAAGACATCACTTGGGACACCCACATCCTATATGGGAGCGCCTGGGTTAAGCTGCAGCTCCGCTTCTGATTCCAGCTTCCTGCTGAAGTGCCTAGGAGGCAACAAATGATGGCCCAGGGACTTGGATCCCTGGAACCCATGTGGAAGCCCCAGATGGAATACCTGGCTCCTGGATTTGGCCTGGCCCAGCCCTGACTGGTGCAGGATATTTGGGGAATGAACCAGTAGATGGAAGATCTCTGTTTCTCTGTTTCTACATCTATCGCTCTACCTTTAAAATAAATTTTAAATTCTTTAAACCAAGATAGAAAGAAATCTGTTCTGAGGCCTGAGGCCTACTCTCTCCTTGCTCTTCCAGTGGAAGCTGGGGAAAGCACAGAGCTCCCTTTACCTCGTCTCCATCAGTTACCCCTGCTCAGGAAGACAAATTTCCAGACCCCCCACTGGGATGTACCTTGACGGATGGCGGAGAGCAGGTCACTGCGGGCATCACTCACAGCAGGCAAGGAGGACTTGGGCTTGGTGGCATCAGAAGGTGGCGGTGGTATAGCAGGCTGGCTGTCCCCACCACTGAACGGGAGAGGTGGGGGCCCTGGGGGCGGGGGCGGTGGGGGTGGCGGAGGGGCTCCACCTGCTGGCTGGGACAAGGGAGGTGGTGGCAATGTTGGGTAGTCAGCTGCCGGTGGTGGGGGAGGAGGTGGAGGAGCAGCAAAATCAGGGTGAGGTGGGAAAGATGGGGGTGAAGGTGGGGGAGGGGTGCCTGGAGACCCAAATCCCATAGGTGGCGGTGGAGGTGGGACACCCATCGGAGGTGGAGGAGGAGGGGCAGGTGGTGGAGCAAAGCCAGGTTTGGGGCCTGGCGGAGAGCCTAGAGGTGGAGCTGGGGGTGGATGGCTTGGGCTGACCATGCTGGATCTTTTGGTTCCAGCCAAGCCAGAACCTCTTTGGTTGTCTGCCGGGTAGCTGAAAAGAAAAAAAGACCAACCATCACTTTCAGTATGCAAACACCCTGCCACCCACCACTCCCCTGACGAGGGTTAGGCTTATCACTAAGTCTCGGTGTGTCTCGGCTGACTATTCCATTTCACTTTGAGGCTCAGTTATAAAGAAAAACTGGGGAACTATTCGCAGATACTGTCAAAGAAATGGGCAGCCCGATTAGGAAAAGAGCTTCTGACCACCAGAAGAGTGCAGTCAGGAGTCAGGGTTAACTCCTGGGAGGAGGAGACTCGTCCATCCGCCAGCTGAGCGAGCTCTCAGGTCCTCCTCTAGGCTGGCAGCTCTCCAGGGGAAGGTGTCCTTCTGGAAGCCCAGCTAGGAGGAGTGAGCCATGGGCAGTTGTTTAAGCCTGGAGCCAAGATTCAGAGCGCATGCAAGAAGTAACTGGAATACAAATTCAACCACCATCTACCTACTGGGCTCCATTTCTCAGGCTATTAACATTCACCAGATCTGGTAAGGGCAGGAAATCCAAGCCAAGCGACCAAACCCAAGCAGGATATAGATTTAAGTGACTGCATCTTCAGTGCTCATGTGGGGAAGACTTGTGAGTGAACGAGTCTCAATCTGAGACACTGCAGGGACGGGAAACGAAGCTGCCACATGACTCCTGACCCAGGTTTGAAAGAGGATTAAGGCTACACCTCTCCTGGGATCAGATTTGCTCAGCTGCAGCTGCAAGGTCTCAGGCCATGTGTGAGGCTGAGGGCTTTCTCCCCACCTTTGTATCTGCCCTGCACTAATAGCTACTCCTTAGAAAAGCATCCATCTTGGAATTTTCCACAGCCCTTCAGGCCTCAGCTGCATCTGACAAGGCAACCAGCAGGAAGTGATTTGGGATTAGCAGTTTCAAGGGCTAAGAAGAATGGGGGGAGATGGAGGAGGACAGCACAGCTTCAGGTTTCCATCTGAGGGGTCCTTAGTGTCCAAAGAGTCAGGCATCAGAGAGGAGGAAAGGAAGCGAGCACACAGTGCCATACCAAACACCCCCCAGATCTGTCCGCAGCCATGACTGCTGGCCCCTCCTGTGCACCTGTGCCAGGGAGACGAACAGATATCCAACAGGACAGATCCTAAATTTAATGCCCTTTGTCCCTTTGTTTCATTCTTTCTGGAGATTCTACCCAGAAGCGAAATGAACCAGAAGCCACAGGAGAGCAAGTGACTATCTGCAAGGTTCCTAGACAACTGGGCAAGGCCCCTGCTAACTGTTTCATGAACAGCAGATCATTCTACTTCATTTCATGCTGAGCTAAAGCAAAGTAAAACAAACAAGAGAGGGGGTGGGCCTTTAGCCCGGTGGCTAAGATGCCAGTGAGCATGCCTGTGTCCTATATCAGAGTACCTGGGTTCAATACCTGGCTCAGCTCCTGGCTCCAGCTTCCTGCTAATGTGAACCCAGAGGGGCAGCTATGATGGCTCAAGTGACTGGATTCCTGCCACTCAAGTGGGAGACCTGGACTGAGTTCCTGGCTCCCACCTTTGGCCCCATGTGGGGGTGACTTCAGGCATTTGGGAAGTAGGCCAGTGGAAAGGGAGTGCCCTTTTGCCGCTCAAGTGAAGAAAAAAAAAAAAAAAAAAAAAAAAAAAAACAGAAAAAGAAGGTGTTTGGCTTAGTGATTAAGATGCCTCTTTGGACAACTGCATCTTATCCTAGAGGGCCTGCACTTCAGTCCTAACTCTGCTCCTGGTAATGCACACCCTGGGAGGCAGCAGGTGATGGCTCAGATACTTGGGTCCCTGCCACCCATATGGGAAGACCTGGACCTAGTTCCTCATTCCCAGCTTTGGCCTAGCCCTGCCCTGGCTGTTGTGGGCATTTGGAGAGTGAGCCAGTGGATGTCTCTTTCTCTTGCTGCCTTTCAAATAAAGAAAAATAAACAAACATTTCTAAAACTAAAGAAAAAACAAGAAGTTGGTGACATCTATCTTTCCAGGTATAGGCAGCCTGGTAAAACAGTTAAGGCTACAGGCTCAGCAGCCAGCATTGGACCATAATGGGTTAAGCTGCTGTCTACTATGCTAGCATCTCAGCTGCTCCACTTCCGATCCAGCCCCCTGCTAATATGCCTGAGAAAGCAGCAGAGGATGGCCCAAGTGTGTGGGCCACTGTACCCACATGGGAGACCCAGATGGAGTTCCAGGCTCCTGGTTTCAGCCTGGCCATTTGGGGAGTGAACCATCGGATGGAAGATCTCTTGCTTGGTAACGCTGCCTTTCAAATAAATAAATAAATCTTTAAAAAAAAAATAGAGTCAGGAATCAGACTGACTATGGCTCTGTCTCATCTCTAACTGGCTGTATGACCTTAGATAAGTTCACTGACCCCACTGTGTCTCACAACTGAAAGTTATTTCAGTGGTCCTGGCCTAGATTTTGAACCTTATTTTATTCTTAAGTGTTTAACCACTCAGAGTGGATGGAAGAGGAACCACGATTTACCTGAATTCTGCTGGTGGGGGAGGCAAGTTGTCCTCAGAGAAGGCAGGAGAAGGTGAAGAGGTGGAGTCGGCCTGTGGTGGTGGAGGATAGCTGCCTGCATCCATGTTTTCAACTGAGCCAACACAGCCATTCTGGTACACCAAGGTGGGTGAGTACCTGACAAGGAACCCAGTGTCAAAGCTGTCATTTAAAGAGCCCGAGGGGCACACTTTTTTCTTCTTAAAAGATACTACAAAAATGCATTTGATACAAAAGCTATTAGGGAGAAGTAAAATAAGAATATTCTCTACATCTACTTTCTGCTATACTGAATTTTGTTGTAGGAGTAAACATCCTGTTGTTAAATATCTTTCAGATATCTCTGCCTCATTGTTTGTGGAAACAGGATTCGACCCAGATTATCAAACATGCTTTTGCTCTCCAGTACTGGTCTTCTCAAACCCAGAAATTCTTTAAAATTCTCTTCCAAATGTTAGGTGCAGTTGTACCTGAATCCCAAAGTCTGCCTTGTGGCAAAGGGCGAAGCCAAGCCTGAGGGGCTGGCGGACTGCAAACACGTGATTAGCACGCAGCCTGGTTTTGAGGTCGGCAAGCCTCTGGAGTGCTCAAAGGCCAAGGAGGCATCTGATTGCAAAATCAAGCCACGGATGAATGCAGCTTGCTGTGTGGTAGCAAACGTGGCCTCTCTGCCAGGTCTCTTATCAAACGAAATGAGCTGCGGATTAAAACAGGTTGCTAGCTAGGGCTTGCCTCGTGAGAGCCTGCCCCTCGGAGCACTGGGCCTTGGGCGAATGTGCTCCCAGTGAACAACAATAAGCCTCCGACAGCACAACTCCGAGCACTGGTCAGAAAAACACAGCCTGCTCTGTGCCACCTCCCCTTCTTTCCACCATTGCTGGGTCCTAAAAGGACTCATCTAGAACAGACCCCAGGGAAACTAGGGTTGCAGAAAATGAACTGAATCGAACGACACCCTGATGTGGAAAATCCCCAGGCCTGGAGTCCTGCAGGCCTGGCACATCTATTTACAGGTTTACCAGCAGGCACGTCCAGATAGCCTCGCCACGCAGGCCAACTCCAGAGATCCTGGGCGACGGGAAGCAAAACCATCTGTACCACCCCCACTCCACACATAATAGTGGGCACTCTGAAGATGCACGCTCCCTGGCCTGAGAGGCACCGAGCCTATGACAAATGCCTGTCTCAACAGGATGGGACCACAGAACAAAATGGCCCCTTTTAGGGGAAGGTGAAGGTAATGAAGGTGCCCTCGGGGTTGACTTCCCTGTACAGGGAAAGTTCATTTCTCCTCTCCCCATGTTCATCACTCCTTATAACAAATCTCTTAATCCAGAAAGAACAAGTGTCAGAAGTGTCAAGATTTTTAAAAGTCAAGATCTTCATGGTAGAGTTATTCCTAAAAGCAAGAACAACCCAGCTCTTTGCTTTTATCATTCCTAGACACCTGGCATGGGCTGGCACGGTTCTCTGACAGTCAGAATGCCACATATTTGAGGAAAACCGGGGCGACATTCACACCAAGCAGTTGCGGTGACTCGGCTTCGAATGTCACACAGGTCAAACACCAGGATAGGTATAAAACCAAGCTTTAAACCATTTTCCCCCTTTAAATCTCCAGTGTGATTTGGTGTTGGGAAATGGGGTCAGACTGACATCTCCCGTTTCTCCACAGAGATATATAGCCTCAGTGCTGGCCCAGCAGCCTTTCCCACACTGTCTCTGAGGTCTGCATTCAGTCCTTAGCCAGCCTCTCTCCCAAGACCGACAAAGGCTGGCTGAAAAGCTGCTCTGGTGACGTGTGCACAATTTCACTGCCTGGCTGCCCCTCTCCTAGGCGATGCCCAGCTCGGAGGCTCGACCTTCACATTAAAGCTCTGGAGGCAAAGGGGCCCCAAGACCACTCTGTTTCCCTTTGCAGTCTCTCCTCTGAGGCCCTCTCACACAGCCGCGTCTGGCAGAGGAAGGGCACTAGAAGCCATCGGGCTTTCTGCTCCAGACCACTCCAGTCACCTCATTTAAATTGCTGAGTCTCTTGATTTATTTAGCAAGTTTTAATCATCGGATGGATGCACTTTAAAGTAGCTGATTAATAGTGGTATTGATTTAAGCCACACAGCTAGACTTCAGGGGCTGTGAAAGGTGTCGTGCCAGAGCTGTTAGACTGTTGTCCCCAGCCCCTTCAAAGAACGTCACTGAGAATACAAAAGCATCACCTACCCAGAAGGCCCCAGCTTTTCTTTGGACTCCACAAATTCTTGTCCCATCTTCATTTTCTCCCACTCTTCCTTACGGGTCTTGATTTTACGTGGGTTTACATTCCCTCGGTTTGGATTATCTTTCTTCTCTTTCTATAATGAAAAAGAATAGAAAAACCTTTGCAAAATATTTTCCGAAGTTCTTCATTAAAATCCTACCCATCTTCACGGACACAGAGCCCAGAGATGATCTGCCTAGATAGCATACCAAGTACCTGGAGAATTTATGGAATTACTGGGTTTGGAGTAACCTAGAGGCCATCTAATCCAAATTACCTCCCGGGCAAAATATCTGCTCAGACACGTACTCCAACACCTCTAGCAATCGCAACGCTGCCACTTCTTTGCATAACTCATTCATGGTTTTAAACAGCTTTAATCGTTAGGAAGCTAGTGAACAGCTATTTGTTATTGTCTCATGTATACAAGTCAGTCAAGAGATGAGAAGTAATGATAGCTACAGATATCTGGGACAGACAGAAGGAAATAGTTAAAAAAACAAAACAAAAACCAGTGAAGAAATTTTCAGCCTGTATCACTGCACTAGCCTCTGGCGCTCTCTTGGGCCTCCTGGCAGCCATGCTAATGGGATTGCGAGGTCGCAACTGACAGGTCACACACACACCATCAGGAGTCCAAGCCCAAGCAGAGGGGAGCAACTCCAAAACCTAGGCACCTCCCCTCACCCTGACCCCGCCCAACCAGCAGTGAAGGTGTTAAACCGCGCCTGTCGCCAATCAGCTACTACAGAACCTTGTGCTCATCTCTGGGAAATGAGCTGCAACACTGGTGGGGAAAGGCCTAGCCTGGCTCGAGTGTCCAGCAGAGTCAGGTGCAAATTGCAAGAGAAATAAATGGTGAATAGAAAAGTCAATTTCTAAAACTCAGCCTGAATATACTCAATTGTTAATAGCGCTAGGGGGAACAAACACATTTTTGGTATGATTTATACTTTCATCTTTGTGGTGCTTGGTGAGGACACATTTTTTTAAGAGTTTCACCTGGCATCCAAGCAAGCAGCCACCCGGAATCACTTCACATAAGGCTGGCTTCCTTTTTATCCCCCTCCACAATCGTGCCTACTGATGTGCAGAACAGAGGCCCCTCTCCCCTCACCCTGTGCTTTCTCTTCTCTTTCATGATATCCTTGGTGTCCTGCAGCATCTTCTCCTTCCAAAGATCAAAGAAGTATGAAGGGTCGGTGTAGAATTTGAGTGCCTCTTTTCCATCATCCCTGGGATAGAAATGAAGACAAGCAGCTGTCAGTAGACAGATGAGCTCCCAACCAAATCCAATATTCCAAACACCTACCAGTTAACAGTTGTTACACCAAGGAATCAAGAAGTCATTCGAATCAATTGCATATTTCCTCTCCCATACCAGCACTTAAATGCCCCTGAATGGCACCTCTCTCCTCATTTGGCTTTTTAAGAACCTTAGCCTTACTTTTAATTCCTGGTAGAGGGATTTGCATGGTCAGGGCAAGAACAGACTACAACAGCAGGAATTCTGATGATTTCTACTCATTTGCATGGCCACAGACATCTCCCTAAAGGTATCTGGAGAGCCTGGCACAACAGAGGGATTTCTGCCACTGGTTTCCCTTTCCCTTCCAATTCCCCAGGACTCTCCAGGAAATGATAGGGGCTTTCCACCCACCTGAAACCCGGGCATACACATGCAGGATCTTGTGTGTACATACACACACACACACACACACACACCTCAGACATACATAACTGTGCACATGTGCTTGCTGTTACTCCTCTGCACACACAGATAACCACAGCACCTCACCTTCTTGTTCCCTCTTAGCACAGCACAGCATCCATACCCCCAACCACAAGGGGGCCCTGGTGAGAACAGATGGTCAGCTGTTTTAAGAACCTAAGACTTATCACTCACTATCTTTAGTAGCTACAAAAGTAATACAGAGTGCACTGTGAGTCATTATAAACTAGTGGCCAAACCCAACGACCCTGGTTGGAATCCCACTGTCCAGAAAGCATGGCCTTCGGGGGGAACACTTATTTTAATATTATTCTGGGGCTGGTGGTGTGGTGTAGCAGGTAAATCTGCTGCCTGCAGTGCCAGCATCCCATATGGGCTCTGGTTCGGTCCCAGCTGTTCCACTTCCAATCCGGCTCTCTGCTATGGCCTGGGAAAGCAGTAGAAGATGGCCCAAGTCTTTGGGCCCCTGCACCCACATGGGAGACCTGGAAGAAGCTCCTGACACCTGGCTTCAGATCAGTGCAGCTCCAGCCATTGCGGCCAACTGGGGAGTAAACCAGTGGATGGAAGACCTCTCTCTCTCTCTCTCTGCCTTTCCTCTCTCTCTCTCTCTGTGTAACGCTGATCTTCAAATAAATAAATAAATCTTTTTTTTAAACTGTAAGACTTTACAGTAACTCTTGTTCTGAAGGAGATACACCACTGCTTTCTTGCTTCTGTTAAGCCAACTCCAGATACCTAAGAAGAGACGCTAATTCTGCTATTGTATGTTACAAAGGAAAATGCCATTAACTGACAAAATTCTCTTCATGTCATTTGTTTATTCCATCCTATGCAACACATCAGCTGTGTGATCCCATCCTGTCTCAAAACCGTGTCCCTGAGTCAGCTGGACTAAATAAATGATGGAGGCTGCAGAGTCCAAACTGTCCTGCTCTGCTAGCTGGTCCCTTGGAAAGTTAAGGGCAAACAAAATGGGGAGATGCCATATATGTGAGAAGCTTCCAGGCCCCCTAAATCAGGCTGGCATCCCTGAATTTCACAGGGATACACCACACACATTTCTGCTCTTCGGTGTAGCCATGCCTGATAGCAGACATCTGCCTCCAGCTATCTGTTACCTGTAATTACTTCTTACCTGTTCCAAAGATATTTATGAATGCAAGCAAAATAAACATTCACCTTCTGACCCTCTCCAGTGTTTTGTGTGTGTGTGTGTGTGTGTGTGTTTTGCAGAATGACAACACTACCAAACCACCAGAGGGGAGGGGCTTTAAGTCATCTATAAGGCAACCTTCTTTTTCAAGACCAGTCACAGCAAGGCAGGCCTTTTCAGAAGGAAATGTCAAAAGGATGTTCAAAACACAGTGAACGAAACTCCTCTGGAAGAAAGCCAATTGCTCCTTAAGCTTTGGAAGGACCTCTCTGGGCCAGAGCAGCCAGCGCATGCGGCAGGCCCCACTAACACGCCCAAACATCTGGTAACCTAGTGGTTTCCAAGTCAGTGGGAGCCTTGCTAGCATGCTGCCCCTGGGATCCACGTTGTAGGACCGCCTTTATAACAAAAGTCCTTTTTGGTTCTATAATAACTAAATTCCTTGGATGGAATCCAAGATGGACCTGGTTTATACCAAATTAAACTCTGCAGGATGCAATGTTACAGCAAACTTTCAATATATATTATATTCACTATGAATTTCAGAAACCAAACAATAATAAATGACAACTGTTCACAGGGTAAACTGTAGCTTCTGTTGCCACAAGCCACTCTGGGATGGGGAGTAAGCTTTTTGATAGACTCTTCTGATGTAAACAACATCTTCAGATAAAAGAGCCTAGTGCTGTTTGTGGTTCAGGCTGGAAAAAGGAAGGAGCCAGCCAGCCGTTACCTGTATGGGGTAAGATTGTTGAGAGGGGGAGGAGTATCACAGGTATTATATGTTTCCAAGACAGGCACTGGGAGAGAGTTTCTGTCAAAGAGCTTCTGGTCCTGAATGGTGGAGCTTCGGAAGGCCTTTCGGGTGTTGATTCCTTGCAGCGACACTGAGAGGAGAGGGAAGGCGTTAGAAAATGGACGACAGGCTGTCTGAGCAAACACTGAGTCACCCCAGTCGGAGAGGCCTCAGCTGCTGCATTTCTTGGCTGCGGCTGTCTGCAGCCAGGTTTTTTTTTTTTTCCTTCCCCTCTGGGGAAGCCCCGCAAGGCTGTCAGCAGCCCAGCCATTTCACGACTGAACAAAATGAGGCAACACAAAGGTTTACTATGTGGCCAGATAGACCAGGCCTCTCCTAGGAGGAAGGAATCTTCCAAGTACTTTTATGGTAGCAAAATACAATTGAGAGAAGGGAAATTTGAGCGCTGGGGAACTGGGGGATTGGGAGAAAGAGAGTGTGTGGGGGTGAGGCAGAACTTAAAAGGTTTCTTTACGCCACCCAGGCTTGTCATTTCAGAGCAGAACTCCATAGGTTTCTGTGATTTTTTTCCCCTTGCTTTTTTATAAATTAGGGGGAAAAATTCGAAGAAACTGCTCAGCAGAGCCTGCAAATGCTGAGCTCAGCTTCCTTACCTTCTTCTTCCTTGGGATCCAGCTGAGTGACTTTAACTTGTAGTCGGTCAACCCTCTCAGCAAGGGAGCTTACCCGAGAGGCAAAGGTTTTTGCCTGAGTAAAGAGCTCTCCAAAAATGTCCTCTGCATATTTACCTGCAAAAAGCAAAGAAACCAAGTCACCAGTGCACAGAAGTGACAAAAATGGTCAGGAAACTGGCTACCAAGGCCGGCACGACCCATCCCCATACACTGTCCCGCACCCCCGAAGGGAAGTGCCACACTCGAAGAATCTGCTTGCTCTGAGAGATAAAGATACTTTCTCCTTAGCTTCGGCAGTCTGTAGAGAGCACAGCCTTCCTGGATAACTGGACAGTCATGAAACTTGAAACAGGCTGAATAAAACTGAAAGGTGTAATGCAAAAAATTGATGTTGGAAGAGCAGACATATTTGCTTACAGCCCTAGCCCCTTGCTTTTCTATAAAATCACCTGGTAAAATGGTTCTGGAAAACAGACTGGGAGTTAAGAGGACCTTCTGGGTGCCTACAATTAATATGATAAGAAATATCCTCCTCAATGGAGCCACAAAAATGCAATGAACAAGCGTGATGAGTCATGGTATCTTCCAGGGCCCTTGAATTTATCAACAATCCACAAGCAGAGATGTGTAACTTCTCTGAAGGGGTGAAAGGTTACTTTATCTTTTATAACCTACAACTTTCAAAGTCTTTGTTCTGGGTTGCAACCCTTCAAATCTACATCTTAGGGAATAAGTGAAAAGCTGAAAATTTCAAGCCCTCCCTGAAAAACAACATACCAGCGGTCTCTTTCCACAATGTCTTGTTTTTTACAAAAAGAAAAGAGTTCTGTGCTTTCAACCCTGGAATGCAAGGAGAATTTGCAGCCAAAGAAACATAACAGCAATTTGACACTACCTCCATATTGTCATTCCAAGCCACAAGGCATATTCTTCCTAGGAATGAAAAGCGCTGCATAGGAATAAAGACACCATCTGAGCTTTGATTTGCAAGGTGAAGGCAGGCATAAGCAACCTGGCCCAACCAAAAGATAACTTTTCTGGGACCCACATAAGCAGGCTCTGATTTTTAGCTTCTAAGCTACATTTAGGCCTAAGTCCTCATCTCAAGGGGAAGAATTCGTCTGAGAAGTCAAAACAGAACCTGTAGTGTGGCTGAAGCTCACCTTCCAGTATAACATGGAGAGAAAGAAGACCAATCAGCTGCATAGTTTGATTTGCTGGTAAATGAAAGTCAATAAGGGCTTCTAATCAGGAAGGAGCAAGTCCCACATACTGAATGGTTCTGTTATCTGAACAATACGGAAGCTCCCTGCTCTGCTCGAAGGTCTCACACTGGAGCCTCATCTCTACTCTGCAGGTTGGAGAACCTGTCTGATCCCGGTCCATAATATGGCTAAGATCCTATAAAACCACACTGCATCATGCTCATCCTGGCAATGGAAAATTGTGTTTGGAAGGCTAAAGCAGAGAAAGGTGCAACATTATTCGTGGAAAATAAACCAGGTTCAAAAATATCCATCTGTTCTGAAGGAAAAGAAAGCCTGCACCAATTTACCCCTCGGTCACCAAGAGAGTACCAGGGTTTTCTGCTCCTCAGCCAAGAGGGCAATGGCAGTAGGAGTTGTGGCTTGGGGTAGCACAGCCGTTTTCCAGATAAAATCTTACAAAGCACCCTAAACTGGGGTAACAATGAGCTCTCCTGTTGAAGAGGGAAGAGGGAATGAGGTGTTGTGAAGGCTACCCCACTGTCACCTCACGTCAGGCAGACTCAAAGGACACTACAAGACATGGAAAGAGCAGCAGACATCGCGGCAGAAAATCTGGGTTAAGTTTCAGCTTTCTATTTAGTCCTGTGTACTCAGCAAGTCACAATCTCTCAGACTTAGTTTCCTTACCTGTAAAACGCAGACAACTATATTTCACCATGTTATAGATGATTTTCATGTATTATTATTATTTTTTAAATTTTTATTTATTTGAGTTATAGAGAGAGGGAGAGGCAGAGAGAGATTATTTTTTAAAGATTTATTTGAAAGACAAAGTTACAGAAAGGCAGAGGTGGGGGGTCTCCCATCCACTAATTCGCTTCCCAAATGGCCCCAACAGCTGGAGCTGGGCCAACATGAAGCCAGGAGCCAGGAGCTGTTTCTCAGTCTCCCACATGGGTGCAGGGACCCAAGCACTTGGGCTATCATCCACTGCTTTCTCAGGCCATAGCAGAGAGCTGGATCAGAAGTGGAGCAGTTGGGACTCAAACCAGCACCCATATGGGATGGTGGCACTGTAGGCAGCGGCAATACCCGCTGGCCCTATAGATGATTTTTAAGATTGTGAATACACACATCCTTTTAAGCTTAGAGGAAACTTTTTTTAAATTTATTTTTATTTATTTATTTTTTTTGACAGGCAGAGTGGACAGTGAGAGAGAAAAAGACAGAGTTTAGAAAAGTCTTCCTTTACCGCTGGTTCACCCTCCAATGGCCACTGCGGCTGGCGCACCGCGCTGATGCGAAGCCAGGAACCAGGTGCTTCTCCTGGTCTCCCATGCGGGTGCAGGGCCCAAGCACTTGGGCCATCCTCCACTACACTCCCAGGCCACAGCAGAGAGCTGGCCTGGAAGAGGGGCAACCGGGACAGAATCCGGTGCCCCGACTGGGACTAGAACCCAGTGTGCTGGTGCCACAGGCGGAGGATTAGCCTGTTGAGCTGCGGTGCCGGCCTAGAGGAAACTTTTAACATGATTCCAATCAGTAATTTGATAGTCCCTATTCTTCAAGTGCGAACAATTACTCTAACTCTGAAAACAGAAGTTTGATACTTAACTTGGAGAAAACCAAAGAGCCTTGTTTAGAGTCAAAATCCACTCATTCAGATTACCAGTACAGACCTAATATCTACGAGGACATTTGTAACAGGTATTGCATTTTGCACAAAATTCCAGAGTAGTCTTCATTTTTTTTTCTTTAGCAGAACTCTTCAAATTAAATGTTACATGGAAGTAAAACTGATTTTTTAAAAAAGATTTATTTATTTACTTGAAAGTCACAGTCACACAGAGAGAGGAAAGGCAGAGAGAGAGACACGGACAGACAGACAGACGGACAGACTGAGGTCTTCCATCCGATGGTTCGTTCTCCAGATGGCCACAACAGCCGGAGCTGCGCCGATCCAAAGCCAGGAGCCAGGAGCTTCTTCCGGGTCACCCGCGTGAGTGCAGGGGCCCAAAGACTTGGACCATCTTCTGCTTTCCCAGGCCATAGCAGAGAGCTGGATCAGAAGTGGAGCAGCCAGGTCCCGAAATGGCGCCCATATGGGATGCTGGCACTGCAGGCAGTGGCTTTACCTGCTACGCCACAGCGCTGGCCCCAATAAAACTGATTTTTTGAAATGTGGAGTTACTCCTGCTGAAGTCCAAGTGGAAGTCCTGGAGCTCCCCAATGGCATGTGCCGCCACCTCCCCACTCCATGCAATCAGTCAGACAAAACCCCAGTATCATTGCACGGGTTCCTAATGACCCAACTCAGGGTTCCATCCTCCGAGCTGGTCACAATGCTGATCCAAAGGGCTGGCTGTGTATTTCTTAAGGCATGGCAACCTAAGATATGAAATGCAATCTTACTGTACTGAAGGAAAATACGAATTCTGACTGTGCTATCATGGAGCAATCTATGTCTGTGGAATTTTTAAGTCTTATGCTTTATCCATTCCATAATTAAACTTTCACTACCAGCCCGAGCACTTCTGGCTAGAGTACAATGCACACAAGGCCGAGGTCGGGCCTGAAGCACACGTGAGCCTGTACTTGCACCACACTGCTAGATGAAATCCCAGGCATCTTTCAAGGTCCAGTTCAAATGTAACCGCTTCTGTGAAGGCTTTCTTGACCCTACCTATCCCCATCTGCACCCTCAGTCCCCACAGAAAGTATTCCTTTCTCTGTATTCTCTGTGCACCAACAGCATGGAACAGTAGAGTACACCATGAATCATTCAAAAAATGTTCGCTGAGCTGCTACCGGGGGAGGTACTAGATGAGGTAGACACTGGGGTTCCGGGAGAAACAGCACATGATTCCTGCCTCCAAAGACCCTTTGGTTGACTACAGGTGGCAGATGGTTTGCAATATGTAACAGGTAACAACAGAGGTGCGGGACAGGAGCTCAGAGGAGCGCTGAGCCCAGTCTGGAGGAGAAGTCACCTGAGCTGAGTCTGAAGCATCAGGTAGAGGCGGTCAGGCAGACAAAGAGGGCGAGGGCTGTCCAGCCAGGGGGACAGTAAGAGCCCTGTGTGGAAGTATAGGGGAGCACAGTCTGTCTCAGGAGAACTACAGTAGTTGATAGTTTATTTTTTCTTCTATTCCTTTCTTCAACTTTTCATTGTAAAAGGCTGTAAAATGGGAGAAAAGGAATTGCAAAAAATGAGGCTGGAAGAGCAGATTGGTCTTGGAGGGTCTTGGCTGCCTGGCTAAGGAACTTGGATCATTCCATAGGAAGGAATAGGCGAGATAAAACAGTTAAGATTTGTACTCTTATTTTACAAACGTGTTAAAGTACAAAAGTTAACACAGACTTAATTAATTCAGAATTATAAAAGGAAAAAGGAAAATTTATGTTTTAGGGATCATTCTGGGATGGGCATAGGGGATAAAACTCAGGATTGGATCAGAGAGAGGAGGCCAGAGGGTGGCCTGGGCAGCAGTTCAGGGGAAAGTCAAAGGTCTACACCGGTGGCAGATGCAGAGTAGGGACAGAGGTGACACGCTTTTAGGGAGTCTGAGGTTGCTTTTATTTATTCTTTAAGATTTATTTTATTTATTTGAAAGACAGAGTTACAGAGAGAGGTAGAGACAGACAGAGAGGTCTTCCATCTGCTGGTTCACTCCCCAGATAGCCGCAACAGCCGAAACTGCTGATCCGAAGGCAGAAGCCAGGATCTTCTTCCAGGTCTCCCACGCAGGTGCAGGGCCCAAGGACCTGGGCCATCTTCTACTGCTTTCCCAGGCCACAGCAGAGAGCCGGATCGGAAGTGGAGCAGCCAGGACTAGAACTGGCACCCATGGGACGCTGGCGCTTCAGGCCAGGGCTTTAACCCACAAAAACTATTTATTTACTTGAAAGGCAGTTACGGGGTGGGGGATTCTTCCATCTGCTGGTTCATTCCCCAAATGGCCGCAGGAGCTGTAGGGCTGACATGGGTTAAGCCGCTGTCCGAAATGCCAGCATCCCACATGAATACTGGTTCAAGCTCCGGCTGTTCCACTTCTGATCCAGCTCCCTACCAATGGGCTTGGAAAACTAGCAGAAGACGGCCTGAGTGTTAAGGCTCTTGCCACTCACTGGGGAGATTCAGATGGAGTTCCAGATTCCTGGCTTTGGCCCTGGCCATTGTGGCCATCTAGGGAATAAATGAGCAGTTAGAAGACCTCTCTCTTTCTCTCTGACTTTCCGTCTAAGTTTGCCTTGCAAATAAATAAATATTTAAAAAAACAAAAACAAAAACAAAACACTGTTGGGGCCAGTGCTGTGGTACAGTGGGTTAAAGCCCCAGCCTGCAACATCAGCATCCCATATGGGCGCCGGTTCGAGTCCTGGCTGCTCCACTTTTGATCCTGCTCTCTGCTATGGTCTGGGAAAGTGGTAGAAGATGGTCCAAGTCCTTGGGCCCCTGCACACCCATGTGGGAGACCCTGAAGAAGCTCCTGGCTTCTGGTTTCAGATTGGCCCAGCTCCAGCCATTGTGGCCATATGGGGAGTGAACCAGCAGATAGAAGACCTCTCTCTCTCCCTTCTGCCTCTGCCTCTCTGTAACTCTGCCTTTCAAATAAATAAATAAGTCTTAAAAAAATACTCTTTTTGCTTCTTACTGGCTGTGTGTCTTCAGGCAAGTTATCTCACTTTTCTGAGCCTTCATTTCTTTATCTGCGAAGTGGGAATATCATAACTTATCCTCATAGGATTATTGGGATGGATAAATGAGATAATCTATGTCAAGGTCCTATTAAAACCTGATATAACATAGACAATCAACAAACGGGAGTTCCCCTCTCACTCATTCTCTCCTTAAGGATTATTTATGTCTGTCTCCTTTGGCAGATCCTTTCTCAGCACCACTGTATCTCCTCAGCATCTAGTGCGTGAAATACTTTCAATACATGTTACTGGATGCATAATGGGTCAGGTAGCCCCACAACGTGAGGAAACCTTGTTTTCTCGGGCACAAAACAACCCCAGCCCTCAGAGCAGCTTTCCCGACATAGGAGTCGTCTGAGCACAGGTGGGAGGGCAAGCAATGGCATCCATCAACACCATCCTGGAGAAACGCCTGAGAGAGAGCATCACTCCTGCTGAGCGCAGGCGCTCGCTGCTCTTTGTCCTGCGGGAACGGAACCTGTGTGTGATTGACTTCCACCCATTTGGCCTTCTCAGGGTGACATAAGCAGAGATGATGCTTTTAGAAGCAGTAAGGCTCTCTGCAGCCTTCGAGTGCTTTCTTGTCAGCTGCACTGCTGCTGCGCTACTGTCAGTGTTCCTTTGTGTGAAGTAGGCACTGGCACGGCTTCGTTTCTTTGTGACGCCCATCCAGGTTTCCCTAAGCCCTGGATCAACTGAGATGGTCCCTGAGCTAGGTGAAGGCTTAGGAGTCTCAGACTCCATATATCATCTGGTCGCAGAGCACTGTCTCCTCAGGCTCTTATTTTAAAGGCAGGGCCTATTACTATCTGGGGGAATGCAGGCTTTCTTGATTTTCCACTGCCTTCACTAAGGGCAGTGATGCGACAGGAGGGGTAAGCGTCAAATAATTCACACCAAGATGCTTTTGCTAAGGTAGATCACTACAATGGCATTTGACAGAGGTTCTTATGGGAGCTGGAGTGGCATGAGACAAATACAGACAATCCATGCATCTGCCCTTCTCAGATACCTCAGCTTCACGCAAACAAAGTCAGCTCGATTCAGAATGAAATCCAAACCACATGCATGTACCCCACCCAAGGCAATCTCATTCATTCTTGCCAATTAAAAAAAAAAAAAAAAGCACAGTTGAGCTGGCTTTCCTTCCCTCAGCTCCAAAACAGCCTGGGCTAACCCCCATCTTCCTCCTAGAAAAGAATGGCTCCAACTACTATTTGTGTCACTGTGTGCTCACGCAGCTTGCACAACTCCCAACACCCCAGAGACTGCAGAAGTAATTTGTACCCTGAACTTGGACCTGGGGGCTTACAGCACAATTAAATGCGTACCAGGGTGGACAAGCCAGCCAGAATCTCCGAGTGTGTATTTGCTCCACTCCTCTTTGGGAAGAGAAGAGGGAGGGCGTTGGGGAGATAAAAACTATTGGCACATTTGAGGCTTCAACGAAGTCAGGCTACATCGAACAGCTCGTGTAATTACAGGCACATTCCCCGACCCAAGATACTGCTCTGTGAACCTCCCACTTTACACACAGAGAATTCTGCTCTGTCATTCCATCTGCAGTTTTTGCTGCAGCCCTTCCTGCCACCCTTCCCACAGATTTCTTTTGAAGCAGGTGGAGGGGGAGGGGGAGGGAACCTAGAGGGTGGTGATAGATAAAGAAAGGGGTGAGGGGAAGAATCTGTACCAAAAAGAGCCTCTCTTTGGGGAGGGGTGGGATGCATTTCGCATTACCTAGGGAAGGCAGATGGGGGAGAAATAGGACCGTGGGAGGAGAAGGAAACTAAATAAAGAGCACCAACGACCCCTGAGGGCAAAGCACAGGCTCTCCGAGGCACTCACTCAGGCTGCCCAGCTGTCGGATGACATTTGCCAGGGTGATGTTGGTCATGCATTCCAGCTCGCTTCTAACTCTGGGCAGCGTCTGCCGGCACAGGTGCCTTGGCTCGATGTTCCTCGTCACTAACGGCATGGTGGACCTGCTTCAGGCGATGTTCTCAATGATGAAAAACAACCTCAAAAAGAAATAACAGGAAAGTATTACTCAACCACAAATTCCAGGCACACTTGGGTTAGTCTTTTTTTGTGTGTGCTGATCTAAAACAGCTTAAAGGAGCCTGTGTCATGGCACAGCAGGTTAAGCCCCTGTCTGTGATTCCAGCATCCCGTCTGAGTACCAGTTTGAGTCCTCGCTGCTCTATTTCCGATCCAGCTCCCTGTTAATGTGCCTGGGAAAGCAGTGGAAGATGGCCCAAGTACTTGGGCTCCTGCCACCCACATGAGAGACCTGGATGGAATTCCAGGCTCCTAGCCTTGGCCTGGTCCAACCCTACCCATTACAACCACTTGGGGAGTATACCAATGGATGGAAGATTTCTTTCTTTCTTTCTGTAATTCTGCCTTTCAAATAAATAAATAAATCTTTTTTAAAAAATAAAACAGCTTAGGGGCCGGCGCTGTGGCATAGCAGGTAAAGCCGACACCTGCGGTACCAACATCCCATATGGGCGCTGGTTTGAGTCCCCACTACTCCGCTTCCGTCTGCAATGCTGGCATCTCATGAGCACAGGTTCGAGTCCCAACTACTCCACTTCCAATCCAGCTCCCTGTTAATGCACCTGGGAAAGCAGACATGGCCGAAGTGCTTGGGCCCCTGCACCCACATGGGAGTCCTGGATGAAGCTCCAGGCTGCTGGCTTCAGAATGGCCTCGCCCTGGCCATTGTGCCTTTTTGGGGAGTGAATCAGCAAACAGAAGATGTTGCTGTCTCCCTGTTAACTCTGCCTTTCAAATAACTAAAATAAATCTTAAAATAAAATTCTGAACTAGTAACTGTTGACTGAGGTATACAGCAGCCTAAAATCTTAAAGTCACAACTATTGCTCTGACCAACAAAAGTCCCCAGAAGCAAAGAGATATGATCAGAAAAACAGCCCATTCAGTAGATGGATGGTGCACATCCTTTCCTTGGAATGCCCATACCCAGATTCCAAGCAACCAATTATAAAGATCAAAACGAGGCCGGCGCCGTGGCTCAACAGGCTAATCCTCCGCCTGCGGCGCCGGCCGGGTTCTAGTCCCGGTCGAGGCATCGGATTCTGTCCCAGTTGCTCCTCTTCCAGTCCAGCTCTCTGTTGTGGCCTGGGAATGCATTGGAGGATGGCCCAAGTGCTTGGGCCCTGCACCCCATGGGAGACCAGGAGAAGCACCTGGCTCCTGGCTTCGGATCAGCACGGTGCGCCGGCTGCAGCGCACCAGCCGTAGTGGCCATTACGGGGTGAACCAACGGCAAAGGAAGACCTTTCTCTCTCTCTCTCTCTCACTGTCCACTCTGCCTGTCCAAAAAAAAAAAAAAAAAAATCAAAACGAACTTCTGGGGGCCGCCATTGCGGTGCAGCTGGTTAAGTCATTGCCAGCAATACTGGCATCCCATATGAGCACTGGTTCAAGTCTGGGTTGTTCCACTTCCAGTCCAGCTCCCTGCTAATATGCTTGGGAAAGCAGGATAAGATGACCCAAGTATTTGGGTCCTTGCCACTCAGGGTGAGAGACCCAGATGGAGTCCATGGCTCTTGGCTTCATTCTGCCCAGCCCTGGCAGTTGCGGCCATCTGGGGAGTAAACTAGCACATGGAAGATCTCTTTCTCTAACTCTTTCAAATAAATTAATAAATCTTAAAAAAAAAAAATAGCTTATGTCTTCTGATAATCTCCACATGGAAATGAAGCTGCCAATGGTGATTCCATTGGTATACATCAGGATTTAACCTCTCTAGGTCTTCCTGGATAGGTGACTGTTAATGTACAACTAAAGACTACCTGCCAGTATCTATTAATATTACTAACATTTAGTCTGTAAACTGACAGAATGAAAGAATATCAAGGAAAATTGTACACGTTCAGTATGTCAAACATGAGGCTGAGCAAACTGCTCTAAGATCCTCTGATCCTTTCTCTTCTACCCAACAGCTCCCCTTCTTCCTCTCACTCAGTTCCATACATGCGGGCTCCAGAGACAGCAGGAAGTGTCTGGAGCTGATCCGGAAACTTTACCAGTTAGTGTTTCTTTTCTGGTTGGTTGCTGAGCCCCTTTTCCCAGGGAAGTCCTCCAGCACTTCATATTCATGCTGAGCTGTTTTAGATATACCAAACTCCTAGCTTTCTGAGGAAAAGCAGCGTTCTTAAAAAAAAATTATTTATTTTATTTCAGAAACAGAGAGACAGAGAAGGAGACCAAGAGAAAAACTGAATGAGCAAGCGAGTGCACTCATGCACTGGTTCACTCCCCAAATGGCCTGGGGATAGGTCAGGCCAGGAGCTTGGGAACTCAATCCAGGTCCCCACAGGGGTGGCAGGAACCTTACCAGCTGAGCCATCACCACTGCCTCGAGGGTCCACATTAGTAGGAAGCTCCAAGGTAGGCTTAAAATACTAGGCCAGAAGCCAGCCACACAGAGGAGGTTTAAACCTCTAAAAAATGTGTATGACTACAGTCAAGGCACACTGGGCTTATCCTGTTCCCTTAGCTTGTGAACCTAAGGAAGTCTAAAATGGCCTGTTTCTGTGCTTGGAAGAATGGCAAGTTCACTTCACAGGAAAAGTTAAACCATAAAGGTAACATATCCGAGTTCACAATATATAAAATTCCTCGGCCGGCTCCACGGCTCAGTAGGCTAATCCTCCGCCTTGCGGCGCCGGCACACCGGGTTCTAGTCCCGGTCGGGGCGCCGGATTCTGTCCCGGCTGACCCTCTTCCAGGCCAGCTCTCTGCTGTGGCCTGGGAGTGCAGTGGAGGATGGCCCAAGTGCTTGGACCCTGCACCCCATGGGAGACCAGGAGAAGCACCTGGCTCCTGGCTTTGGATCAGTGCAGTGCGCCGGCCGCAGTGCGCCGGCCGGTGAACCAACGGCAAAGGAAGACCTTTCTCTCTGTCTCTCTCTCTCACTGTCCACTCTGCCTGTCAAAAAAAAAAAAAAAAAAAAAAAAAAAAAAAATCCTCAAAAAGGAATAAAAGGCAAAAACAAAGGTTTACTTAGATGAAATCTTAAAACAACAGCTCATCACCAAAAAAGTAGATTGTGCATACAAAATGTTTAAACCAAACTGAACACCATAAAAGACCAGAGATCTTAAAAAGCGAAACAACAACAACAACAAAGGGTTGAGGAACCAAGAGAAGAAAAAGCAGCAGCCCTTCAGGCTCAAGGGGGGTGGAACCTTTGGAACAGACTGCTCCTTGTTGTGGACACTCTGCTCTGCCGCAGTAAAAATAAAACAGGAAGCCAGCAGCTTGGGGAACAAGATTTCCTGTCACCAACAGCAACAGCCCAAGAACCAAGAGAATCAGCTGTTTGCTTATAACTTTGAACCTCCCTTTAATAGTCACTGTGTGGCAGCTGTGCCTATCTTAGGGGTGCAGAGGTGTTTCCTGAATGCCTGTCTACTGTCTAAGGAAATGATTTCCATTCCGTTTCTCTGCTAAGTTCCTCCTTTGACTCAACAGGTTTTCTAATCCAAACTTTGGACTTTCCATTTAACTTTTTTCTTTTACCTAATGTGAAAGTATCAGTCACTAAGACACAAGCTTTAGTAACACAGTGGAAGAGAAGTCCGAACAGGAAAGGAAGCAGAGACGGCCAATAAGAGGACCTTTGCAAGGCTCTGACACTATCCTCTGGATGCTCTTAGATTGCCAATTTTCAGGCTTTCTGAAAAAACCAGAAATTCAGAGCACAGCCAAGAATGATTGAAAACAGCCACTGTGGCTCCCTCCACTCACAATCACTTGAGTATTGTTCCAGCTTCTCAGAGGAGCTAAAAGAGCCAGACCACCTTGAAACTGTCGAATGCGACCACTGACAGCACATTCCAGACTTTCCCCCGGACACCTAATGGAAATTGGATTCCAGATGGCTAGTAAATGTCAGACCTGGGAGGGGGGCTGGGGAGGGGGAGAGGTGCGGATTCTAACACCTCAGTACTCTGGCATTTATGTTCTCCAAGTGCTTTGGGTAGGCAGACGTGAATGGAGTTAACTCCATGTCACCTGGCTGGACTTGACCTGGAATCAAGTTTTCAATAGCAAGATACCCCCTCTTGCCAAAAAAGCCAACACCTATAACCAGCTGGGGAGTACTCAAGAAATAACAACATGTCAATATCCACCAAGACAAAAAAATTAGAAAAGTGTATCTTCTATTTATAGAAAAACATTCCGTTTTTTTCAAAGCCACCAAATAAGACGAGATTCCCTGTGATACAAAATTACCTGCTCCATGGTTTAGATTTCTCCTGGATAACCAAGGTTGTCTTCTGCACAAGTATGGAATTACATATGATCTGAACTACGACAGTAAAAGTCCTGCATTACAGTAGAGAAAAACTTACGAATGGGTAAAAAGACTTTTACCAGGTTCTTGATTCTCTCAATTTAGCTTCAATATGTAGAAAATTCACGGGCTTTGAAATTGAGATATACTTGGATTAGAACCCTGACTCTAATACTTACTTGTGATGTTTGGTAATTTTCCTAGAGATTTTAAATAATACATATAACATATGTAAAGTGCCCACAACAGGGTTAAGAAAAAAGAAGTATTTATTTGTCGTTCCTTGAATTAACCACACCTTCCTGAAGAATCAATTCTAGTCACTGATAAATACTCAAACATTCCAGAAAAAAAATTTCAGGGGTTTGGTTTTGTGGTGCATTTGCGTTAAGCTATGACTTGAGATACTTGCCTGCATCCAATATTGGACTGAAATCGAGTCCCACCTCCACTTTTTTTTTTTTTTTTTTAAAGATGTATTTATTTGAAAGAGTTACAGAGAGAGGTAGAGACAGAAAGAGAGGTCTTCTATCCACTGGTTCACTTCCCAACTGGCTGCAACGGTTGGAGCTACACCGATCCGAAGGCAGGAGCTAGGAGTCTCTTTCAGGTCTCCCACGTGGGTGCAGGGACCCTAGGACTTGGGCCATCTTCTACTGCTTTCCCAGGCCATAGCAGATAGCTGGA